TTTTGTTTTGTTTTTGTCCAGGGCTTTCAAATCTTTTTTCCTGCTGTTTACATTTCAGAATTATCTAACAAATGGCTTATATGAATGTATTTAAATAATTATGAATGGGACAGAAAGGTCTAGGACATTTTAGCTTTTTTTTTTCTTTTACCAGGACTTTTGCTGTGGTGAATTTACTGCTTGAATTTTGCTACTTTGGTAGCTGTAAGTGCTGAATAAATTGGTGTTGCATTTCAACCATCCGGCGCCTCATAAAGATTTTAGGCTGTCCATGTAAATATTCCTGGATTGTCTGCTCTGAATAAATGCTCACATGGAAAAAGACTAAAAGCTTACTGCAAAATCCCCGGACAGCAAACAAAAAGGGCTTCTGTCTTCAACAACTTCTATTTGACAATGCTGAGTACATGGTAAATACTAGGTGTTTTTTTCACAGGTGATGTCAAAAGATAAAAGTCTACTCTTGCTGCCAGACAAATGCTATACCCCAACTCAAGCAGCAGGGGCTTCTGATTTCATCAATTAAGACCAATTTCCAAGCCTAACTGTGGGGAGGAGACTGAACTGTAGTGGTGTCACTATATTAAGTAGGTAATAGCAAGAATAATAGCAACAATAAGTAATGATTTTGATAATTAATAATAACCTCAGGCTAGTGAATAAGGGGCTGGTTGCCCTTGCATGAATATTCTTGCTGGTCCCAATGAAAAAGGGGTAAATGAGGTCAGTTTTTCAGTCCTCTGCGTGGGTGCTCTGGTGAGCTCCTCAGTATTTCTCCTTTAGGGCCTTCTTTCAGAGAACCAAATTCTCTCATTACCCTGTTCTTTCATCAGTTAAATCTCTTTCATTTCCTACAGGTTTTGCATCGAAATCTGATGCTTGTCCCCACTCCAGTATTTATAGCAGTGTTACCAGTTGTTAAGATCTGATATGTGGTATTTTTCAAAGCTTTCCAGATTTGTGTCCTTATATAAGAATCTCAGAATTCATTAAAAAAAAAAAAAAAAAGCCTTTTGAGGAGGGAGACTAAAAAACAGAATAGGAGTTTTGACTTCACACTAAGGACTCAAAAACAAAAAAGCAGGAAAAAGTACACTAATTTTAAGATATTAATCTAGTGAAGTCTTGAAAGAGAAGGGACATTCACCCAGAAGCATTTGCCATGTCTATATTTATACAATATCCTAACACTCGGAATAAAGATTTTTGTTATAGGATTAACTCCCTTAAACAGCAGATGGTAAGTTTTAATGGCATGAAGGGTAATATTCATTAAACAGGTACAAGAAACAAAATACTCATATCTAGATTGAAGAACACATTAGGAGAATGACTTCATGTGTTCATTTGCTTTCTCCTTTCCCCCAGGTTCTATATACATTTTACTAATTCTTTATTTATGCTTCTTTCCAGAAACATCACTCAGTGTCTACACTGAGAATGATTTTGGGCCAGGAAGTGGAGAAGACCAGAACAGGTATATATCATATTACCCTTGATGTTGACAGAGAAGAGTTGACAAGGAAAACACTGCTCATCTTTCCAAAAATGATTTCACCCACTGTAATTGTTTATAGGAGGACAGGTCTGGAATAAAACCTGAGTGCCACTTTGGAAGACTTAACGCCTTCTCTGTCATCAGCAACTGAGGCAGCCTGAATGTCAACATTCTTCTATTGCAGCTAATTTGTCCTTAAAAACTCCTTCAGAAAGCAGACTGCGGTTGCAGCTTCCGCTCTCTTAGACATGACCCATTACATCAGACCTCACTGACATATGGCTCTAATGAGCCACGTTGCAAACAGCCTAAGATGTTGCCATCCATACCTGTTCTGCCTTTCCAGGAGGTGACTCTCTTTCAGAAGAATCGATGGATGAGATCAACACCTATATCCATCCTGAGTCCAACAGGTTAACTTGCACTGCTGTGAACGTTAGTTTAAAGAGTTGGTTGTGTTTTGATCTAGGCTACAGGAATGTTTCTTATTTTCAGTTAACTCTATAGCGTTACAAGTTTTGGGTTCAGGAGGCTGAAGACACTGTCCTATGTAAGGAGGGAAAATTCAAGTCTCTTGTGTTAAGTATCTATGAACAAGTCATGAATCAAACTCATGATTCTGGCTTAAGTTTTAGTAGTACAAATTCAATTTGTTATTTTATCATCTGTTTTCATTTTCTATTTTTTCTCTATAACAAACATAATCAATAAAATATACAATAACCATATGATGTTCTCATCATCACAGCTCCTGGATACAAATATTAATTTAAGTATTAATGTTTTAAAAATCATATAATGAAAATTACTACAGTTGGCCACATCAAAGTTTAATGAATGATCTTCCTCTTTCCAAATACACAATGGTATTATGGGTATATTTCTACTATTTTCTTTTTATAAAAGGTATGGCTTTGACAAAAGTAATTCCTAATATTAGCAACAAGCAGCCAGGAGATGGTACATCATACAGTGGAGAGTGAGAAAGGTATAGCTCTGCTGTTTTTTCCCTCTTTTGCGAGTGTAAAACAGGATGGGGATGCTTTATTCAGTGGCTAAATTCAGAATGAGTATAATCAAAGTGCAATACCAGTGAAATCAAGACAAATTAATCCTACTCATTGCAGTATGAGATTTGTCCCACAGCTTTAGGTCTTCACGGAAATTTAACCATTTGTCTATTCTCCTTATTGCTTAGAGAAGGCACCCAGTATTTCCATGAGATTATTTAAATGTAGAATTATTAGAAAATTTTGCAGCTACAGAGATAGATGGGTTTTACATAAAATCTCTGCTCTTTGTAGCAACCCAATGTGATACTGAGCAAGATAATGGTCAGAAAGAACATTGCTAGGCTCCTAATGAGAAACTGTTGACAGTAAAATTACACCAACATTTATCAAAAAGCCAATAAATGTCAAGCATGGGGCCTTTGATGCAGTAGCTCATAATTCCTGTTCAGAAGCCTTTGCAGTCTCTTCAGGGCATGCAATCATCCTGCATTTCTGCTGATTTTACTGAAAACTTTGTTGCTGAAGAAGTACAAGTAGCAGGTGTCTGCATTCAGGATGCCACGATTACAGTGTCATTGGCTCACCAGGAGACCTCAGGCAGAGCACATTTGGCCTCAGTTTCCCCATCTGCAATACAGGAATGACAATATAGGAACTACCCAAAGGCAAATCTGTGAAGGGCACAGTGTTGCCATCCAAATGCTCAGAAATCATGAGCTAGGTGGTAAAAGCTACGATGCTGACTTTTGCTCATGAGTTAATCATGTATTTTTAAGGTTGGCTACATCCAGCTTTTTGTGCCTTTGTAGTACATACTTTCAAGCTCTCTCCTCCACAGCTACACGAGATTACTTCAGACCAACACATAACTAATTCTTAGCTAGTCTGCTGAATTCTGGGTGAGGTAGCCTTAAGAAAACCACAGGAAGTTTATATAAAAGCTTTTATAAAGTCCCATTCTGTTACTCAGCTCTGTGGAACGTGAAAGATACAAATACCTTGCTCATCACCCAAGTTCTCTGCTTAAGTCCATCTTCAGCATATATCCCCTAAATGATGTGGTGAGGCAGTTTGTTGCCTCGTCCATGAATTAAGAACAACCTTGTGCTGAGTGTTACTCGAGCTGTCACTGCATTCTGGCTTCCTTGTTTGCCTTGTTCACGAGGGGAGCCTGAAGTTACATCACAAGTGATGACATGATAATATCCTCCAGATTTTGTTTATGTATCTTTTCTATAATTTCCAGATAAAGGCTCACAGCCATTTTTCTAAGGCCTCCATGGACTCTGAGGCTGGATACTGGAAATTCCTTGCTTGCATTTTCTTGACCAGTTTCCAGCCTTTCCTGTGTATATGAATAGGAAATATGTCCCTGTCTGTCATTTGCAGTGATAAGCTGCATCCTAGAGACTGTACACAGATGGAGTCGTACTTAGTTTACAGAGAAAACTGAGTGTATGCCACATGCTATTAGGGTCACTTGAAACTAGGCTAATTACCTGGCAGACATCGCTGCAGAGCAGATTCTTTAATAAAAATGAATGGGGTGACAAGGGATAGACTCCTTGCTATTTCGGGACAAACTCTCTCCTCAGGCAGCAGATAGCCACAGTGGTAAGGCTCCCAATATATCATTTGGTTTGCTATTTCTTGGCTGTAGAACTTAATTAACAATTCTGGAACCAGTCTGTTTCCCAGAAATAGCCTGTAAATCCATTGAATTAAACAATAAAGGCAGATGTGGGCAAAAATAAAAATCCCACACAAGTCAGCAATGAAAAATTATGTTGCTTTGTCAATCCATAGGGGCCAGTACAGGAATGTTCTAAAACCTTCCGAAGCTTCTCTGTTTAGTGGTTCAAGCAAGAGGGAAATGTTCCTGTGGATGCCACCATTTTTGCAACTGATGATTACTAATTACATAATTACTTTATTGCATGAAATAGTACAAATACTGTAAAAAGTGAGTTAAAACATACTTACAAATAATTTTTCTCTTCAAGATATGAAAGTACAACACAAATATCTGTCATACCTGTGAATTAGACTGAAAAAGACCACGAGCCTAGAAATGCATTCTTAAGGATCTGAACTCAGTTGTCCAGAGCACTGTGCTTCCTCAGCCTCCACGGATTTGAGCTGTGAAGGAGCTCAAGGCATTGTGGTGTTTGGTCTTCTACAGGGAAAGCCAAGAATAAGGTAACACTCCCAACCCTCTACCTATCATATAAACAACCAGAACACCCTTTTTGATAGTTAACTTCCCCTCCCATCACCATTTTGTCTTGATAAAGTGTGCCTGTTTTTAACTTTATGTAACACTTCCATTGATGTCAGTCTGCTCACAGTGAATAATGCTAAGGATATCTGTATGTCTCTGTAATATTAGTGTCTTCTGAGGCCACTGAAATTGAGTGAATCCATGTGCAGGAATGAGATGACCAGAATTTGATTCTATTGCAGTATAACTATTTAAAATGACACAATTATTCTTTAAAAATGCAGATTTTATTTTCTTCAGAAATTTTAAGCAGGAGTTATTAATAATGACAAGACCTGTCTTGTGTAGTTGACAATCAATTGCAGAAGGAGGATTTCTAAATATCTGAAATAATGTGCTCATCCAAGCTATCACTCATGTTTTAACATGGCCAGTGAAAACATTTTATTACTGCAGTTAGTTGGAAGGAGCACTATTCTGCAAAAATCAGATAATGTACTTATTTCTAAAAGCCTGGAACAACAGAGCCAGTAGAGATTTGCTGAGTAGTTGCAAGATAGCCATTAAATATAAATATTTTTAAAAACAATTTACTCTTTCCTAATGGTTTTAGAGCAGCATGTGGGAACAGAGTCTACGTGCAGCATCTTACTGCATTAAAAAGGACATGATGAAGGTTATTGGACTCCAGATTTAACCCTTCTATCTCTTAACTGCTCATAAAAGTTCCTAACCTATATAAACTATGTGAGTTTATATAAACTTATCCATCTTTCCTAGTGGTAACAATACAAGTTTATATTTTTAAAACAACTGTTCCCAGTTAGGCACAATTTCCACATTCCTATACAAACAAGCTATTTTTAATGGTGAATTCAAGTTTAAATTTCCACTTCTCAAATTAAAAATGTCAGCAGAACTGGAAATTGCTTTCTCTATCCTAAGTATGCATTGTAGATGGAAAATAGAATTGTTCTATGGAGCTGTATATGTATAAATGATATGAGTATTTATATCGCTGGTTTGAATGAAAATGTGTAGGCGAGATAGAAAAAGAGTCTGATTTTTGCTCCATACTATCCAAGTTTTGCCTCCAGTATAAGGAATAACAGAATTTAATTCTGCTACTCAGGAAGCAAAGTGTCATTCAACGCCTTGATACCAGCAGTGCACTGACAGCCTATAGCCCGTTGCTAGTGCGCGGGAGGCAGATTGACCGAACCATGAGACCACTTCTCGTAACAGGGGGACATGACAAGGCTGACACTACCAGCATTGTCTTTTGTGAAATGGCTCTCATGCTCGGGTCATTCTGAAGCAGAACTGCAGCAACTGCATTGCACAGCACTTGGCCTGGGCTTCCTCTCACTCCACAGAGCTCTTTCATGGCCCAAAGACAAAGGTGTTGAGTATTCATTGCAGCAGTTCTTCAGTTCAAAGTGCCCAAAATAACAGGCAGGCCTGTCAGCAGGGTGGTTTTTAGCACGAGTCTGAGGATGCTCAGCAGAATTAGGCAAGGCCTATGGGGATAGTATCAGGGCACTGTGAAGGGCTAAGCAAGCCAAAGCTCGTGTGGATTCATCCATACTGAGTAATCGATCCCAGGAGGAAACTGTCCCAGGACTTTGCTGGGTACCTGATCACTCCAGAGGAGAACAGAGGAATGAACTAACACTCATACAGACAGGGAACCAAGGACATGGGAGCAAACATACCTTAAAAAAATCCTTCTTGATTTATGATACTTCCACATTTGGAGCTTTAGTAGCTGTAGGTAGGATTCATCTGATCTAATTTAAGACATCTAAATCTGAGTTTAGCACTTTAGGCTACTGTTACTGTCAACAAAAGAAAAAAGGCCCATTCATACAGTGATTCACCCGGTCTTTCTTAGATGCCTATTTAAGGATTAAATAGATGAGCCTTCATGATCTGGCTGTGTGGAACTTCAGAAGAAATGTCTTTGCGGAGATGCCATCCCACATTGATCGCCATGGATTGGTACCAAGGCTGATATCATTCAGAATCAATAATACATCATCAGAAATTCTGCCAATGATGCGAAATTGGGGGAATGGCTGACACACCGAATGGCCTGGCTTCAATCCAGAAGAACCATAATCTAAGGAGAAATGCAAGTTTCTGCACCTGAGGAAGAATAACCCCAAGCACCAGTAGTGGCTAGGAGCTGACTGGCAGAGCAGCAGTCCTGCTGAAACCGGGTTTACAGTGGATGCCCAACTGAGTAAGAGCCAACAGTGCATTCTCATCACAAATAAGACAAAACGCATACTGAGCAATACTGACTGACTCAGAGTGGTCATCAGATGGAGGGAGTACTTTGTTCTCCTCTGCTCAGCACTGGTGAGGCCATATTTGGAGTACAGTCCAGTTTTGGCACAACCAGTACAAAAGGGATGTGGAGAAACTGGAATTGCTCCACTGGTGAGCTACCAAGCTGGTTACCCAGAGAACATGACCTACAGGGAGAGTGGAAGAAGCTGGACCTGTTCAGTCTGGCACAGAGGAGTCTAAGTGTGGTCTAACTGCAGCCTGTGATTACTTGAAGAGAGTTACAAAGATAATGGAGCTGAAATTTTCTCAATAATGTCAGACAATGTAACAAGGGGCAACGGCCAAAAAAATGCTGCTTCAAGGCTCAGACTGGACATTAAAAAAAATATTTCACCAGGAGAGTTGTACACTGCTGTAACAGATTACCCAGAGAAGCAGCTGAATGCCTGCTGTTGGAGGTTGTCACAACCATAAATCCATGACTGAACTGCTCCAGTGTCAGTAAAATCCCAACTCTGAGCACAAGGATGGACTTTGCAACTAACATATCTAAGATTCTGTGATAAACTGAACACGTACAGCCTGAAAATTACAGCTGGGTCGAAACACTGCCAGGTCAGAATCTCTCCTGAAGCCCAGAGGCAGTGGCTTCACAATGTGCCCTTTGTGAAACTAAATGCCCCCAAGTCGTGCTCAGCCTCACTGTAGTCAATAGCAAAATTCTGTAGAGCTGGGACAAGTGCTTGAACTGGTGGTGGAAAACCAGGATTTGCTGAGGGAGACAAACTAATAATACATACACTTCATAAGCAGCTATATTCATAAGGAGCAATGGACTACTGTTACAGGCTTTTGTCTGTAACATATAAACAGTACTGGAATCCATTACAATATCTACTACTATAATCTCTGGAATGTCTCCAAGCCCTTTAATTATTTATTAATAACAATAAATGGAAATTCTCATCCAGAACTATGGGGACAGGTACTGAATAGGGTGATCTGAGCTCTCTCCCAGCCCCTGCAATTCCCTAAGTAACCTGGGACATATTAAACTGATTTTTGCAGCACAGAGTTCCTTCTAAACCCATAGATTAAATTAATTGCTGAAAAAAACCCATTCCATTTGATTTTTTCTTAATATTTATTTTATACTTAGAATAAATTTATTGTGTCTTTGGCATTTGTAAGAAGAGAAATTTAACTTGCAGTAAGAACAAAAATATAGTTCCTGAAGGCAACTGCGTGAATAATCATAAAGCACAGCTAAGGAAACAAGACTCATTTCTTCTCATCCTGAGAGTGTGACCAGACAGGTTTACGTTTCTGAATAAAGGCTTCAATACCTTCCTGCCCATCTCTCAAAGTCAAATTGTCTACCATGACCTGGGTAGTCATTCTGTAGGCAGTATCAAGGTCCTGTGTCATCTGTCTGTAAAAGGTGGCTTTCCCCAATGCCAGGACGGATTTGCTGCTTTCGCATATCTTTTGAGAGATTTTCATGGTCTCCTCTTCCAGCTTGTCTTCTGGTACCACCTTGCTGACAAGCCCATGCATTAATGCTTCTTGGGCAGAAAGAGGTTCACCCGTGAAAAGCATCTCTAATGCCACCTGGACAAGAAAAAAATACTGTATTAAGTCAATTCAACTGCCTTATTGCTTTGGTTGGTTTGGGGAATTTCAGTCTCCTCCTTCAAGTGCAAGTTATTCTTTTGACAAATGTAAGATTTAAATCTTTTGGCCTCTTAAACTGCCAAGGAAGTGTTAAGAGGTTTCAGCAAAGAGGACTGGGTCTAAATCTGGCCTTTTTCAAAACTTGCTCACTTATTCCAGATGTCCTAGGCTGACACCTCTGGGTTGCTTTTCAAAAGCCCACAATCTCTAGTGATTGCAGTAGGAATTAAGAGAGATGTGGATGGTCCACAATGTCAAATGACTGAACTTGGTATTTTAAGCAGGGCATATAACAATAAATAAAGACTTACTACGTCAACGCGTAGTTCTTAAAAATACCTGTCTTAGTTTTAAGTTTGGTTGGGGTGTTTTTTTTAAACATATCCTTCTTACAGCTGCATCTATTTCAGTCCTCTGCTGCTTCTAACATCTTGTACTTGAGGTTTCAAATTTAAAAATCCCCCAAATACTCAGTGACTATTCAATGTTATATACCAGTAAGAATTTTTGTACATGACTCCTGATGCAACGGACCAATACCCTGAATCATAAGAGCTGATTATCCTCATTTGTATCTTTGCTTTGGTGGCCATAAACAATAGCAACATTTAATTTGATAAAAGGTAAAATCAGTAATCCTGAGAACTGCAGGAAATGTTCTTGCTACTTTGAGAAGTGGCACAGAGAAAAGTATATCCCACACATTTAAAAATGGTAGTCATAAACCCCAGAAATACTAATTCAGGAACAGTTATAACTGTGCACTGTAGAACACTTGGAAAAAAAACCCACAGACAGACTATATTTGAACAGGATGACCTCACAGATAGGACATTTAAACTTGGAGCTCTTATCCAGCAATTGGACTTGTACAATTAAGTCACTGCATCTCAGCAGAGCTCTGCTGGGCTTGCAGAGTCTGTCTGCATGAATCCAACTGTATCAGAACTTTAAATTTCTTTTCTGAGTTATGGAAGCTTTACAGATCTGTTTATGTTATGTTTACACTACTGTTTATGTAGTGAGAGATGTGTAGTCACAAGCAGTGTGAAATAAAGCAGGAAGAAAGCATAGGAGGGTTTTAGATGCTATTTAAAGCATCTTGATCTACACCCAGGCAGATCATGCTGTCAGTGAAATGTCACTGCCGGGCAAAAATTGATACCTCGGTGGGATTGATATCCTGAACTTGCAGGGGTTTCCTCATCCGGGGAGAACATCACTATCTAAAGCACAGAGCTGTCTGTTGGAAAGGAAGGGGATCACTGAGCTGGTGTGCTGCTGGTATGAGTTCATGCTGGTTGGAATTGCATTAGTAGGAAGCTGCTTTCCCTGAACAGAGGTCATCCTTTTATGTTTCCCAGTCCAAAGAGTTATGAAGATGTCTTTTGCAATGAAGTATTTTGAATGTTGTACTGCAGGACGATAATGTTTAGGCAATGGAAATAAAACTCCTAACATGCGAACCTACTTCTTGCAAACTTACAAAGAGTATCTGGGAAGAAAGCTTACCTTTCTTGGAAGAGATCTGCCCAAGGCCACAGCTGGTGTAGAGCAAAACAGTCCAATGTTTACACCAGGAGTAGCAAATTGAGATTTCTCACTTGCCACTGCGATGTCACAGCTTGCCACAAGCTGACAGCCTGCTGCTGTAGCCAAGCCATTTACTTTGGCAATCACTGGTACTGGAAGCTTCTGGATTAAAGTCATAACCTGCACGCACAAAAGAAAGTGGTCAGTTAGTCCCTGAAATTTAAGCAGTGGCTGTTCTAAAACTTTAAATTGCTTCACACACCTGATATATGCATTTTCAGCTTGCTTAATTGGAGTTTAGTAAAAGAAGTAAGCTCTCTGCAAAAACTGTTCTAATGCAGAAGACCACTGCTGTTCCAGTATCTGCTGTGTTTATGTAGCATGAGTCAGTCCTGCAAATTCCAGTGGAAATGGAAAACACAGGAATGAAAGGCAGAAACATGTGTTATCAGATCTGCAAGGAACCTGGGTGTCTCTGCACTGCGGGTCTAGTGTTCCGGGCTGTGGGAAGATGTGTACTGGAGACACACCATCCCCACCTTCATTTGCCCCATAATGGAAAACTGACTTAATAAAAGTCTCTGTCCCAAGGAATCAAACCAGCCTCTTGCTGGTTTCTGCATGATCTTGAGTCTGGGTTGATCTCACCCAAACACAGTCACTGGATGTCTTTCTAGGTTTACTCTGCATTCCAGGGAGAGACTTACCTGCCAGGAAACAATTTTTCCTGCTTACATTAGACATAATATTGGAAAACACACTCATTCTCTCTCTCTCTCTCTCTCTGATAATTCTTATTCAACTCTCTCTCTCTCTGATAATTCTTATCCAACTTCAGATAGCTGAAGTTAAGAAAGATGAATTTGTCTTAAATTTTCTAACTCAGGTACTACTTCACAGTGGGAATCAACAAACTCACCTAATTTTAATGCCTGAAGATAGAAAATGCTAGTTAAATGATTACAGTCATTATCTGGATTAAAAAATAATAAATCTCATATTAACACAGTATAGCAAGATAGCAAATTCTCATTTGCCAATTCAATTTCTCCAGTAGATGAAGTCTAGCAAATTTTATGTTGCTTAGGTAAAATTAACTACATTCAGTGTTGAATTTGATCAGTCTGTTTAAAACCAATTTTTCAGTGGATCTTGAGAAAAAGAGAACAAAAGTGTAACAACACATGCATGTATACAGACAAACAACTATAGGGTGCTCCTGTGGTTATAAAAATTCAGTCAACTCCCTCTCTGATAAAAAACTCCTGGTACTTATGCTTTTGTATTTGAACAGTCTCTGGAGAAGTGATATTCTCAGCTGTCTCAAACTTGTACGTTGCCAAGTACTTAGTTCTCAGATACAGCATTATATATATAGCATTGCTAACACTGTTATGTGCATGGGGAAACAGAGAAGTAGCAGCTGAGGTGACCTGCTTAAGATTACCAGGTTCCTGACAACCAGTCCAATGCTCTGGACTCCCTAGTCCACAATGCTGTGAGCATGTCATTTAGGGTAAGATCCATTCTACTTAAGTATTAAATTTAGGATCCCGTTTTGGAAGCCCTGAAAAGTACCTTTCTCTCTCTGTTGACCAAAAAAAAAGCAGAAGTCAATTATTCTACCACACAGCTAAAATTTAGATATTAGTTAGGATACTAAATAAAGCCTAAATTAATTTATCTATTTCTGTTTGCCTGTAAAGTACCATTATTACTTAACAGTAAGACCTTCTTCCTCCATGAGGATAACAGTGAGTTCTGATTTATAAGAAACGTAAATCCCTTTAGGATACTTAGGTAGAGAGTTTAAAGCACCCGTGACTACTGTGAACATCAGAAAAAGGATCACTTCAAGTGTCATTTCTTCTCTTATATTTAATTTATTCCTGAGCTTGCTTTGCCAGTTTCACAGAAGCATTTAGGTTGGCGGTGACCTCTTGAGATCATCGAGTCCAACCCCTCTGCTCAAGCAGGCTCGGGTAGAGCAGGCTGTCCAGGACTGTGTCCAGTTGGGTTTTGAACATCTCCCTATATCTGAATTTCAGAGTCTTGGGAATATTAATCTGAAATTAGTATACCATTTTTCATTTGTAATAATGCTCCTTTACTAAACTTACTATACTTAGAGCACCATTCTCACAAAGAAAACTAGGCTTGTTTTTAACTCTAAATGGGGACGTTCTGTTATTTTTTGCTATTTCTCTTTATTAAACGAAGTTAAGTTGCTATACTACTCTGATCCTGAGTATAGCCACAGTGCTAGATATACATACAGGATAATTTAAATTCTTATAGTCCTTAAAGTGAGAAATTTATCAACTCCTGATTTCATGCTATACGGAGTAAATTTCACGTTTTCTGCCTGATCTTTCCTATTCCATGACCTGGAAGCTGCACGGCTCAGTTTCCACTGAAAACATACTGGTATTCTGCTCTGCAACTGCAAAATTAATATTGAACTAATGGCTGCTGAACTATTGGACCATGGCTCCTTTCTGATGCAAGCACTAACCTGTCATTCTGTCATATCTGTGTTTACCTCTTTGTGATCACCATACCAAGATGAAATCCAGGCAGAGCTGCCAGGATGATTCCTTCATAATACAATGAAAGCCCTTCAGTGGTAACTGTCACACATGGCATTTACAGCATTTATTAAATATGGGCTTGACAATGTCTATAGAGATCATTATTATTGGAGGAACTAGAACAAAAGGTTTCAAATTACTTTCTGTGGTCACACTGAGCAGGATTAGGGGTCAAATTCTAGTGCTGCTACAATCAAAGGGGTTTTTGCCATTCTCTCTAAAGGCTCCAGGATTCACTGTAACTTCATGACCTTCAAGTCTGTGCCTTTATAACAAGAACTTGTATGGGCAACTGCTGACTGGGCAACCAGTGAGTCAGATCTTACTTTCACATTGTCTACTTGAAGTTTAAGCTGGTCTTGAGTTATTAGCTACATGTTGGGAAAGAACATTTGATCCCAAGTGATCTGAAGATGGTTATCCTGAGATTTCTAGGAAATATGTTGCCGAAATACTCAGCTGCAAGGAACACTACCTGAACTAAGAAACATGCCATGACTGTACCCACTGTCTAGCCCTTTTATCTGCAGGTAGAGAAATCCAGGGAAAACATGATTTCACCAGGATCAGGTATTAAAATAGCAGAGCAGCAAAAAGCAAGGAATCTGTAGCAGCTGTCTGTGCTTTAGCTAGCAGATGAGTAATGCTGTCCTTCCTTAAACCAGTATCACTGCTTGCTCTTAATACCAGACAAAAGGGGTGGCACTTAAGAAGAACTGCTTACCTCTGCACATATTTCAAATACTTGGGAATGATGCTTCACATCATCTTCGCTTGACAGTTCCTTTAAATCATGGCCAGAACAAAATACAGGTCCTTCAGCTACAGAGAATTTTAGGAAAAGTCAGTCTGAATTAATCAAGAAACCAGGGGTAGAAGCATATCAGTGCCCCAGCTGAAAGTATGTCAGTGGTCAAAAAGGAACTTGGGGAGGGAGTTTTACAGAGAGTTCTAAAATATTGCCTTCTGGGTTTTGTAACAACTTTAAATTGCCACAATGTAACACTTAACCACGGTAACACCCATAAACATTTTTAAAGGCCTAGTTTTACTTCCATTCCAAGTTAACTCAGTTAAAAATAAGGCACTTCACACCTCTGAGCCCAGTTTCTTCTGAGGAAACTTGGTACAATGTAAACTAGTCAGCTGGAGCAAGGATGGAGTGCTCTGCTCTCAGACTAATAAATACAGTTAGTCTCTATTTATTGGACTCAGCATTAATAATTAACTTTTGCTAAATAAGCACTGAGATTTTTGTGTCATAAGTGTTCAAGGCCACAATGGCAAAAAAAAAAAAAAAAAAAGAAACAAGGTTGTTCTGCTAGAGGAGAACCTGAAGTGTTGTTGGGGCATCTTTTCCCCTACTGCTAAAATCATCATCTAGAGAATCCCAAAAAGCATGTCCAGGGTTTGGGCAGGAAAAGAGCAGGTTTCTGTGGACCTAAGCTTTGGATTTGCTTGCCTCCAGTGACAGCTAAGATCAAAACAGCCTTTATGGGTACACTGTCTTTACAGCATGAGGATATCCTTTGTCACGAGGGTATCTGCCATGAGAATACACCAATGTGATGCTTTTGAATCTTTCAGAACTTCTCAGGTATTTGTATGGATGTGACATTTCTAGCCACAGCTCTACAGACATGACCTTACCTATGCATTTGTTTTTTACAGATCAGATTATTGTGACACAGTCTATCCAGAAATAACTACACAATTAACATCAGTCAGCCCATGGGATCAGAAATACATATCTGGAAATTAATCACATCTATATTTGTGCCTCAATGAAAAAGAATCCACTGCAAAGTCTGTGTTAAAGATTCAAAGCGTTCCCTGAGAAGCCTTTTACTTTCTTGAGATTTCTTCTTTTGCATTCCATTCAGCAAGGGAATTGGAAATCAAGAGGAACATGCAATTTCTTTTTACACTAAAACAAAATAACAAATTAAATTGTGTTTGCAAACTCCCAGACTACTGTACTCCCAAAGAAGAACCTGAAGTGTTTCACAAAATTTGTAACTGCTGTTTGAAATGTTGAATATATATATTTAAATTCACCCCTGTGAAGTTAGCTTACTTCCACTCTCACGTGTGTGTGCACTAACACACAGTGTTTTCCTCTACATACAGAAAACAGCAGCATCCTATAAATTAATAAACCTATTTCTCCACAACGTTTGGAAGGGAGAAAGGGCAAGATTATCTTAAAATAGCAGAGGAAAAAAAGATGGCTTAAGAACAGTTCAAATTTCATTAAGAACTCTACAGGTTAATACCTAAATGGAAGAAAACTGTAATAGGCTCTGAGAGAGAACGTTTTACATCTGCAGGTTATGGGTGATTGCAGTATCAATATTATGGTCTCTTCTTCATCGGAGAGTTTTTAAAACAATTTTGACAAATCAGTGGCAAAGATATCAAGGCTGATCCTGGCTTAGAGCTGGGGAACAGAGCACATGGTTTGAGAAATCTCGTGAGCCCTGTTTACTGCAATCTAAACCTGTGACCAAAGGCAAAGTGTCAGACCAGCTTAGCCAGTTCCTGCAGGAAAACCCCTATCTGGGAATGTTATTTCTTTAGTTTGATAACCATTAGAACCTGGCTTTTGTTCTGTTTAAAGTATTCTTTACACATAGTTTTTAAACCAATTATTTCATCTACTGATTGTTTTTACTGAAAGCTCATCGGCTCTGTAAACACACTGCATAACCTGACTGAAATACTGACATTTTGAAACGTGTTTCTAGTGTTTCTTCTTAGACGTCCCAACTGTCAACAAAAATATAACAAAACGCAAGCCAAGTGTTAATTCTGTGTTCAAAAATGAGGATTAAGTACAGGAGAGTGGAAACTGGCATGAGTATGAAAGAACAGCATGAGGGCAGGGCCTGCAGGGTGAAGGCACCGGCAGGAAACCCTGGATGGTCCTGGAAAACAACACGCAAGTCCTTTCCCGTCCTATTTTCTGTAACCTGTGAGCGATTTCGGTTTAAACTCCATATGATCCCGTTTCGCCTCCTTCCCTCGCTCTGCCTTTCTCTTCCGTCGGCCTTAAATGCCGGAGGTACCTGAAATGATGATAACTCGGAGGTCTTTGCCTTTGACGTCGTGCAGCAGGTCCTCCCTGAGGGACTGCAGCATGGAGAGGGACAGGGCGTTTCTTTTCCTCGGGTTGTTCAAGATAATATTTCTGTAAAAGCCGTTAAATACAAAGAGTACTGCTATATATATATATATATATATATATATATATAAAAAAAAAGAGAATACCCGCATTCAGAGCTTCAAGGGCAGGCTCTTAGCGCTGCCACCCCCCCCACTCCCCGGCCGCCGCCGCCTCACCGGACGCCCTCCGCCTGCCGCCGCACCGTCAGCTTCCCGGGCGGGGGCGGCCGCCCGCTTCCCGCCGCCGCCGCGCTGCTGAAGGCCGCGGCCAGCGGCCCCCTCAGCCGGGCCAGCGCGGCGGCGGCCATGGCGGCCGGGCCGGCGGCTCGCTACCGGCCCCTAGGCCGGCGGGCTGAGGCCGGGCCCCCGCGGGGCGGCGCTCCCCGACCCTGCCGGGTCTGAGGGCGGCCCGTGTGGGCGCCCGGGGGCGGCGAATGGCGCCAGGGGACGGGAGGAAACGACACAGGCCTCCCCTCGCCGCGGCCTCAGGTCTCAGACCTGGTTTCCCCAACGTGCTGGGTGTAGAATCAGCGAGGCCTGGGACTTCCTGCCCTGGGAGACTCGGGTGGGAAGGTGGCATTCGTGAGTATCTCGGGGGATGCTGGAGGAGTTACCGGAAAGTGGCAATTAATTCACTCTCTAAGACTCAATTTTGGAGTTTTAGAAAGCAGGCATTCTTTATTACAGCGCCAGACGCACAGGGGACAGCTCCTCCTAATGTGTGTGTGTGAGGATGAAATCAACAAGCATTTCTACTACCTTAATCATACATATTCATTGCATTTTATCATATTCATAACTTTTAGGGGAACTCATTTAGCATATGTTAATGCATCTTGCGCATGTCTATTGGAGTCTTCAGGTGGTTGTTGGGGGTCTTCAGATGAAGGCTCACAGTCTTCTTCAGTGTGTTCGCCAGTTGACCCTTCCTTCTGCACAAACTCAGTCCTGTGGTCAAGTATATCTTGTCCTTCAAGGCTGGCCTGGTCTGGTTTTGTTGCTAATTTGAAGCTTCTTTATGTTTCTTTGCACCTGCCAGTACAAGGCCAAACCGTCTCCAGTAAGATTATTTATGAGTTCCTTAATCTACAGTTATTCTGACTATTACTCAAAAGATCAGTATTTGTTCTGCAGCACAATTGCTAAACGGTTAAAACATCTCAAATTGATTTGAATAATTCTATTCCACAAATATCTATTTTCTAATAATCTTAGTTTGCAGGTATCAGAGGGGTCCTAGAAAATGCTGACTTCTGCAATAATTTCAGATTCCACTGAGCATTTGCATCCGTGACCACGGGATGGAGATTAGGACGGTGCTGAGAAAACTTCTGACACTAAATTGGGATGTATAATCGACAGAGCAGACAACTGTTATACAGAGAGAATGCTCTGAGGCCGAGAGTAACCGGCATGGGATGAAATTCAGTGCTACAGGGTTTGGGGTCACACACCTGGGAACTAATAGAATCATTTATTCACTGGGAGCTCATCATCTGGAAATGGTTATGGAGAAGACATTGGGTGTTTTAACTGGTTCCACAGAGTCTGTAGTCTGTATGATGCATCCAAGGAAAAAAAAAAAAAAACAAAAAACCAACCAAAAGTGATTTTCAAAATATTAAAAGTATTTTAGGGACTTACAGGTACATCCACAGCTCATCTTGATTACCGTGTATGCTTCTGGTCACCCATGTTCAAGAAGCCAAACTAAAAGAGGGACAGAGAGAACAGATGTGGTGTAGAACAGAGACTGTTATGAGGGATGAGAGGAGCGTTGCTCCTTGAGTATAGCAAAACATGTATGAAAGGACTTACGACTGCTGTTTCCAGAGGACAGGCATTTTTCAATCTGAGAAGGCAAAGAGCTACGTAAAATGGAGAACTGTGTGTATACTACAGCAAAGTGGTATACACTGAATATTATCATGCCTGAGCCAGAAATGAAGGAGCAAAGATACTGCCATTAGAGGAATGAGACTGTGGAACCAGCCCTGCCATAGAAGCCACATGGATAGAAACTGTTTGGTGGTGTGTTTTTTAATTTTTTTCTTTTCTTTTTTTTTTTTTTTAATTTTGTTTTGTTTGTTTTTTGTTTGTTTTGTTTTGTTTTGTTTTTAAGAGGGAGCTCAAGAGGCTTCTAAAGGGAGTTATATGATTATATGATGTCTCTCCCTAGGTTACCAGAGGGATGCATCTGAGGAAGTGGGTCCCTCTCCATTTGTGTTTCTGCTGAACCCCAAAGCTCTCCTTTGCCAGCTACTGGTATGAGGCATAGTAAGTCTTTCTAGCTTGAGAGATGCACAACTCTCTGCAGATCCCAATTACTCACAATAGTTCTTCCAGAAAATGGCCCTTTGCAATATAACCTCTCACATTTCTTTCATTCTTCTGTTCCCTGTTTACTTGCAAGAGTGATGACCCCTCTTTCTTCACACCTGGCTCAGGCAGTCTCCTGGGAAAGAAGCAGCTGTGCGGATGAGGCAGCTAGAGAACAATCTCATCTGTCATGAGATGCTGATGGACCCAAAGACCAAGCGGCGTTGTTCCAGGAGATACACGCTGCCCCAGTCATGACTCCCTGCTCTTCCTTATCACACCTACTCACTGTGTATCCTTTCCTAAATGTGAGGGGAAAATATTAGTAAATGAACTTTTTTTTGCATGTGCAAGTCTTAATTGTTTGTGCTCTATTTTCTGGAAGAGCAGTAGGTGTCCTATAATAAAATAGATATGTTCCTCGTAAATGTAAATCTGTGTTCCTGCTTCCTGATTTCGCCCCGCTTGTGAGTTCTTGCAAAGTACTTGCAGGTTACCAGATATATCTTTAGTTTTCATCAGTGCCTGTTGAAGCCCTGCAGCTTCTTCTGAGTATAGTGGCAATTTTGGCTTCTCAGTTCTGAGCATCAGTCTCATAAAAGAACCTCTTGAATTCTGTGTTTAATAATATATTTACCTATACAGATAGTAACAGCTAGTGTGTGGATGCACTTTCTGCTTGGTGATTTTATGTTGCCTAAAACAATGACCCATCAGATCATTGGGCTTTGTGGACCTACTGTAATAGCAGTAGTGGGTTTATGTACATTTTAAAGTGTTGAAGGACACTGATAGGCCTGACACCTGGGTCTGCACTGGGCTTTCCCCACTTGCCCATTTTCATTTTCTTGTGCTTGTTTGTACTTCATGGTCATTCACTGAAAAGTTCTTCCAAAATTTACTTTTAATATGTGGTATAAGTCTGTAAAAAAAAAACCCACCCATTTAGAAGAAAATGACATCTTCTTAAATAGATCACAGCAGTTTTCAAAGTCCCTGCTTGGTGTGGCAAAGGCCAGAACACAGAGAACACAATGTGTGTGCTAGCTCTGGCAGGCGTTCTCAATCCCTTGCAACTCTGACCAGGGACCTCTTTCAAGCTGGCCTTGTGAATACAATCTTTTTTTTTTTTTTTCTTCTAGTTCCTTCTCTTTCTCTGTCTTATTGTCCTTTTTCTGTCCATCTCCAAGGAAAGAATTTTTGTCTTCCCCAAAAAGCTTCTTTTTATTATAGTGTTTCCAGCTCCTGGAAATTCTGTTCTTTTTCACTTTGATTGACAACCTCATGTTTCCTTTCACACCCACCCCCATTACAGATTTTTTTTTGGCTGCAGCTTCCCTAATGCATTAAACAGGCCTGCTGCTGCCTTCTCTGAGAAAGTGCTGAAAAAACTTCCAATTTCAGGCAGCTTTCCTTTTTATAGCATTTCATAGCAGCATTGTAGTTATGGCTCAGCTCACACATCCAGCTGGAGGCAACTAGGAGCTAGGATGGCAAGTACCAGACAGGGCTTTTCTAACCTTTAGTTGTATTGATTCTTCATATAAAATAAAAAAGGGAGATCATAAGAGACATAACGCAATTTCATCGTTAGATCATTACAGAAACTTATAGGGTATCACACTGTGCTAGGAAAAGATGCTTTGAAATTCAACTGTGCTTAGCTGCTGTAAAGCACTCTGCAGTCTCCGTTCTGGTGTTGGTAGATAGCATGCATGGCAGCAAAGATAGTATACTGGATCCCCTTCTTTATAAAGCGCAAGTGTTTATTTGAGTCTTTATTTCCTTGACTTTCAATGAGCCCAGATGGGACATGCACCTTGTAGGAGTACCTGCTTCACCCCAGTGGTCAGTATAAACAGCAGCTCCGCCCAAGGCAAAGGCAGATGGTGTTGGGATGAGGCTGAAATGTAAAATACATATACACACACATACGTAAATGTGTAAATATATACATAAAGACACTACTACTTATTAATTGGGATGCTGTGATGAAAAATTGGGACTATTTTATGGAATATGAGGCAGGCATATCCCTAGCTGACTTTCATGCAAATTATTTCTTGTGAAACGTTGGCATTCCCAGAGCATCTTGTGACCTGACTTTCAACACTGCTGAAAGTATTCAAATCCCACAGGGAGCCAGAGGGGTTCAGCACCTTTAAAACTCAAGGACTGCTTAATTCTAGTCAGGTGTGTAGTAGTTCCAGGATAACAGGGAGAGCAGGGCCCTGTTGTTGTACCCAGGCCAAGAAAAATCATTTATTTTCCTGCTTTGTGAATTCTGCTAGCAAAGAGATAGATTAGTGCATTATGGTTTCTCTGATGTGGAACCCTCCGGGATTGCCTAAAGAAAAGATGAAAAAAGATTTTGCTTTTTTGTTCCCATTTAGCCAGGACTCTGAGCTGAGTCCCAGCACCACAAGATGGGTGCTGTCCATCTAACATTTTTTTACTGTATCCTTAGACAATTTATGTTTTCTATATTGGTATTAAGATAGAAATAGCACAGAAACATCAGGACAATACTCCCTTGGGCTGAGATTTTCTAAGGGCATGAAGCTAAGGGCTCTATACTCTGTCCATGCCTGGAATTCATATGAGTTTGCTACCTAACCTTTTGGGTCCTAGCCTTGCTTTTTTTCTTTGAAAATACATTATTCTACTTTACTTTAGTTATAAAAAGGTATGTCATATATCAGCCTACTCTTTAGAGAGGCTTTAATTACTAGAAGCAGTAATTAAAAATCGGTTACAGGATTGATGTATAGCAGATGATCAGAAAAGTTTAGCCTGTACTCTAGGAGAAAGTGGTTTTTTTTTAAAAAAATATTGATTATTCTGCTAAAAGAAAGGACTGGAATCCAGTTTTAACTCCATGGCTACTATTGGTATTTTGTAATAACCTGTGAACCAGGCTCAACATCCGTCACTCCAGTCAGGCTCAGATTAGGTCCTTACCTGGCAGTACTGCTGCCTCCTGTGATTACATTCAGCATTCCTTAGGCAAGCAAGCCAGTGTCCTGTTTGGCTTTGACATTAGACATAAAGTTCCCAGTGTCATTACTGCTGCAGTTTTTTGCCTTTTTTTGCAATTAGTGCTCGGAGCTTTTTCTCTGTCACTGTGTGGCAGCACTGCTCCATGTAATGGATGCTACTTATTTTCCCTTCAGTTTGAGAACCAGGTGAATGAACAAAATGCTTTTGTCACTAGACCCATCCCTGTTCCTCTTTATTTGCTGTTTTTCTCTTATCCTTCCCACACTCATTTTTCATCCTTCATTGTCCTCACTTCCCCAGAGGTTTTCAAGTGATTCATACTTTCCTGGCTTTAGCATTAGATTTTTCGTATGTGCCTTCCAATTATGAGATTCTTAAGATGCGAACAATGATCAGAATTATGAAATGTATGGGAGGCTATAACAGGCTTGGATAAAAGATGGTATTCATTCCTGCCCTCAGAGTATCTAATTTTAGGTTCCTAATTTAGGTACTTAATCCTGCAAGGCTCCCTACACAATCAATGGAGACAAGCGCTCCTCCGCAGGGGTGGTCACTGTCTAAAGGAGATGCCTGCTCCTGATGCCGCTCCAGGCTGCCTGCTTCTCTCTACTGACTGTGTATGGAGCCAAGGAGAACCGGTCAGATGCCTCTTGCAGATGGCTTGAATGTTTCCCTCACCCCCACAAAAGGTACAAATGCTGATCTCAGCCCAGGGACCTTGTTGGAGGAACACAATCACGTACCAGAATCCTCTCAGCCTGACAATCCTCCAACTGTATCACAGGATTCACTTCCAGGTGTCAGTGTCTCTCTGCTGCGGTTATGGATGAAAATATTGCTGTGAAAGAAGAGGTAAACTGTAGCTGCTGTTTGAGGCCAAGAGCAAAAATTTGCCTAAAAGTTCTCTGTACTTAGGAACAGCCACTGTCATTGCCTGGCTTTGCTCCAAGCCACATCTGCAAATGACAATTCTCACCACGAAACTACACCCTCTACCCACCTTGTCCCCACTTCTGCTAGTAGCTTCTTTTCCACCGCAAAATGTGTTGAAATTTCTGGACTCTTCCAGCTCACCTGTTTTCTGCCTTTTGGCCAATTTTCAGCTCATTTTTTTTTCTTTCATTCCTTTTCACCCCACAAGAACCACTAGAGGCGTCACATTAGAACTGGGGAAATCACTAATTTATTTTAAATTAAATAGGATTTTTATCCTATAAGAATACCTGAATCTTACAAATGAGTTTCATGGGGAAATAGGAAAATGTCAGAATCCTAATAGTTAACAGCTCCTTGGTACCACCATAGTCAGAAGGTCCACAAGGATAACACAGATAAAATCTACCTTGGGTAGAAAAGTTTACACAGTCACAGAAAAAATCAGTTCAGTTAGCAGCTGAAGCCAGGCATATCAATACCAGACTGGGGCAAGAGGTGAAGGAGGCTTTCAAGTGTCCTCAGGTGAAACATTTCTTGCAAGGGGCTTGATCCAGAACGCTGCTCATTAACAGGTTGTCAGGGACTGACGTATCTTAATGTTGTACTTTTTGTCTTATCTTACCTTTTATCCCCCCTGTGCTGTGTCAAATGTGGCAGGCACGAGGCAGGACAGGGAATCACCAGCAAAGCTGCCAACTGCTCATGTGTAATTTCTTCCATGGTAGGGGAGGGAATGCCAGGTAGGAGTTTGGGCTCAGACCCTAAGCCAGATGGCCCCAATACTCTCACTGCACCGTTCTATCTTATCAAGGCCACACGTGTTACATTTGCAGTGTGTTGGCACTAAGGAAGGGGCGATGCTCTGATTCAACACAGCTGTCCCATATTGTGGAGAAACATCCTGTAACTCTGTGTGTCAAAGTGCTCGTGGTTCCTGTTTCCAGGCAGAGGAAATATTAATACATGATGAGCAAAGAAAATTATTCTGTATTTAGGGAATGCTAAGCCTCAAATTTAAAGGGACATTTTTATAACAACTGATTATTTTGTTTTTGAAGGGAAAAAAAAAAAAGCTTCAGGGAATTATGTCTGCCAGTCACCCAGATCTGTCAAGGAGGATGGAAGAGATGTTAAAAGCTGCAGGAAAAATATTGCTGAGAACAAAAAGACAGAAATTAATGCTTACTATGAGGAAAAGGCTACAGCAGAAGTTCAGTGATCTTCTGTCTCGTGTGACCTACCGACCAATTAATTGGCGTGCGTGTGCCAGTCGATACGCATCACTCAGAGCCAGACCCATCCTTGCCTCTCACCCCGTGAGGAGTTACAGGCTATGGAAGGAAGCTGAGACACACGGTGTGTTTGTATATATGCCAAGCAGAGACACTGTAAGAGAGGGGATTATATATAAGGGGAACTTCAGGTTACTGTGACAGTGCATGACTGTATTAAAATTTGTAGAAAACGGTCTTTACTAGTTTTGTAGCTGAAGAAATAACTGGTGTTGCTATGTCCCTAACACTTGGCATTGCCTACTATCTCCCCCACCATACCTCTAGTCCTCCTGATCACTCTGTCCATTAACTGAGCAAGATGTGCTATGGCCTGAAGAGTGCAGGGTTTTGGCAGGTCAAACGCAACAAATGATTGCCCAGTGAACTCTGCAGCTTTTCTCTGATTATAGGTGATAATTTGAGTCTCTAGGTTCTCCGGTGAGGTGGATGCTTAAGATCACTGACATCCCCAACCTGCTGTCAAATGTAGCAGGAAACAAAGAGTATGATCACATTTCCAAGGGAACCCAGGCTAAAATAACTTCCATGATAATCTCCTACATTTAAAATTACACAGTTGCATTCAGGACGAGTAGCCTCCTGCACAACAGCAACACTACAGTAAACTAGAGATTTTCATCACTATATAACTTTTATTGAGAGCTGATTAGTACTGGATTCTTAATATGGCAATTATCAATGAACATTTTAATTAACTAATCACACTAGTGACTTTTTAGAGTTCCATTTATTTTAAACAGCCAACTGACTAGTTTATATTTGTTTTTATTTTCACTTTTCATTACACTTGTATGAGAAATTTGTGCTTGGGCTTCATAAGACAGCAGGAGAGAAATGTGCACACTGATCTCCCCCTCTCTTCTCATCAGAGGCAAGGAAACCGAATTTATATCCTGTTTAATCCCACTGATGTTAATTTACTTAAATCTGGGTACATTATTTGTCCAGTTAGATCTGTACAGTATGCAAAATACGAGGGTTTGGCTAGGTCTCTTTAAAATAATGTAGTTTAATATATCTCTTATTTTAAAACACAGCTACCTGCATTTCTCCTTCATCAGTATTTATGTGCTTAGTTCTGGAGGAGGACAAAAAAGACCATTTCCAGCTAGTAATTTATTTAAATTCTACTTTTTTGGATTTCTTCTTGTTTCAGGAGTACCTTTTGTGCATGGCACATTCAGCTCTAGGAACCTGGGCACCTCAACTGATACTATTATTCTCAGCAGGAACCTTCAGGGAGATGAACAGCATATATTTGGACATTTGAGGTAACCAAAATATGAATTAATTGTGGTTGTGAAGTTTTTCAAGTTCTTCATGTTTTTCATGAACATACAGATTTGGTTGCTGACAGTGGCATGAAGTTTCATTTGAATTGCTGAGGATTGAAGAGTGTCTGACTTTGCAAGCCAGCTGAATCTTGGTCCTGTTTGAAGTGGATGGCTGGATTCTTACAGGCTTCACTGGCACCAGGTTCCCATCTGCCGGTTTTCTGGACCTGGCACAGCAATTCTCACTTTACATAAAAGACGATAAACTCACTAATAGGAAAACAGCATAGAACTCTGAATTCCAGTGGAACAAACTTTTCAAACCGGTACCCCTGTCTTTACAAGAGTTACCTGGAAAAACCTGAGGGTAACATCATCTGCTCTAGTATTCCACAGACCTATATACGGTTTGACACAGAAGACTTGCACAGACAAAACTGCGTGTCCTTTTCAACAGTTAAAATGGCACAGCTTTGCCTCTGGGTGAAATTACACCAGCAAATGGTGAAATCAAAAATTACCATCAATTCTCAAGCACTGATGCTAATGGCATCTCTTGATGGTTCATGAGGACTTACTTTCAGCTTTTGGATATGCAGTGCTAATAACTGTACAGTCTCAGAGCCACAACAGTACAAAACAGGATTCAGACAGCATCTTGGCTCCCTGGTACTCCTAAAATTGCAGGGCAGCATAAGTAGATAATTGCACAGCTTTTTGACAGTAGAAGACCAACTACTTTTCTTCAGTACACATTAACATTAATCAGTTGGCTAGGTCTGGATCAATCTATAGAAATTACATTACAGGGACATTAGGAAGGAAAATCATGTTTATTACATGAGTGGCTAAGGCTGAGAAAGTATGAAGTTCCCCCCCCAAGACATTGTGCTCCCTGCTCCACAAAAACTCAGAGCTGGAGAAAAGCAGCTTAATGTATATGTAAAAGTGTAGGTTGCCATTTGGTAGCAAGCATGTAGGTTATTTAGTATTTTGATGATTTAAGACTAGCTATGAGAATACAAGTGGAAAGGAAAGAGAAAGGAGAAGAGATACTCAGAAGAGGATTGTTGAAGTGACAGTAACAGGAGTGGAATGAAGCTGATGTAAAGAGATTTTCAACACAGGGGCTGGAACAACCAACCAGTGAATGTGGGTGAAAGTTGAGCCAGAACTGCAGAATGGCTCTGGGGGTGGTTGTCACTCCTGCCTTGGCAGCTGCTCTCATGGCTTGCTTTTTCCCCATCTGAGACTGGGTTCCCCAAGAAATGGAGACTGCTGTCATTTTAGATGTGAGCCAGAACAGTTTATTTTTTGCTCTTTCTGAACTTCCTTTTTAAGCAGATTTAAGGAGAGAAACACAGAGTGTACATACAGGGACATTTGCAGTAATGTGTTGAAAATATTGGCCCAGATTTTCAAGTTTAGGAAGGAAAGCTAGGTATTCACAAGCTAAATTAAAGCAACTCTAATGCTGGTTTTAAATTAAATCTGGTTGCTCACAGCCTCAATGATCATGTGACATAAAAATAGAGATGTTTTGATGCTCCTTTGTTTCTTCACTACACCAGCTCTAGGCCACCTCAGGATTTGTCCTCCGCTGAGGGAGTTCTCCTGTAACACACTGAGCTTTCTATTTGTTTCTTCCATATGCTCCTATCTGCTAGAGCAGGGATTAGAAATTGTCTTGAGGAATCCCCATTTTCCCTTTATAGTTTCACACTGATTCACCATGGGCAGGGGTTCAGGTACAAGGAACACTGAAGGCTGTGAACTATATCCTGCTCAGCTGCACACCTACAGCTTCCATTCATTTGTTAAAAAAAGACTGGCATGCATCCAAGAAAATAATTTGGTCCTGTTCCTGTTAGTAGATTTGCATTACTTGATATTGCTCAGACATAGTCTTCTGGCTTTTGGAAGCCTGTTATTATCATTAGGAGACTCTGTTACTCTTTGTAGGAAGAGGTAGGCTTTTGATGAAGAATAATTCTCCTCTCCATATCCTCAAGCCTACTGTTCCCCTTCCAGTTATGTCCAAACATGACGGCCAGGACAAAAAAGCCAGTCTCCTTTCTTTGTATGGGCAGGTAATTTGTAGCTGCATTCTGTCCAAGGTTCTGAGTCAACCAAAAAGTGTGGGGTTTTTTGACCCATTTCTTTAATCCAAATGATTCCTGTCCCCCAAAAGGAAATAAAACAATATCCAATCCTGAAAAACAAACAAACAAACAAACAAAACCCAAACCAAACCCAAACAAAACAAGAATAAAGAACAAGATATTATTTTAATACATTTTTTAAAAAGGTATACCTTACTTAGAAACTTTGGGCATAGCTGATCCAGCTGGGGGTAGGAGAATGCAGTGGATGAGCCCGTCTCAGTGTCTCTTCCAGTTATGTTTTCTATGGTAATATGATTGGGAAGAGGATAATTATCAGCAATATTCAGTGTGAACACAGGAGCAGATTTGGAGTGCTGCCTGATTACAAGGTATTTGTCTACCACTCATCGTCATTATATGAGAATGCTTTAATTAGCATTGAAAACATTTCGTTACATAGACCGTCTCTGGCAAAAATAGATTGTGCGCCTGATGTTTTTCACACTGTATTAAATGCTAAGTATTCAGACCTACATGGGCACACAATGTCATCACCTGAAAACACTAAAACCTATAAATCCTTGATTTTCATTTGCAACAAAAATACTTAGAATCATTAAGATTGTTAATGTATCGACATTTATTTTGAGGTTGAAATGACTGAAAGTATCAAGCAGGCAGCAGATTTCAATGCAAGGTAAACATTTTCTTGGCAGTAAGGATGAATGATGACAAAATGTGTTTTATCTACTAAAAAAATAGATAATCAGCTTATAATCATGGAGAGGACAAATTATCCTGATCTATTTCTACAAAGGCAGATCCTATTCTGGCATATGAACAGCTGAGTAGGAGGTATGTATATATTTAAAGACAAGATACCACACATACAGAGCAGATTCCTGTTTGGTTCTTATACTGGTTTGTATTCAGCTCTAACTGCAGTTCAGATTATATTTTCCAAACCATTTACTTCTCTCCCTTTAGTTCATCAAAGTTATTCAAATCTCAGTTTTAAACCTGTGTTTCTACAAAGTTGACTGAAAGCAGATCCATCTTCCTAATGTGAAGGTTAGACTCAGCACACAGATGAACACACCTAAATGTAGGTGTCTGCACGTAGGTGTTTACACGTGAGCTAGCTGTCGTAGCTCCCATCATGGTCAGCAGAGGCACCTCTGGTTGGTTAGCTTGATAGTGTTCAAGATTCACTGATTATTGATCAGATCACCAAGATCTGTAAAGGAAGCTTAGACACTAACTCACATCTTGAAGTCACATACTGTTAGGTGTCTCAGACTGCAAACTGAACCTGATCTCATGCATTTATAAAACAGACATCGAAAGCTGAGCAAGTACTGACTGAGTAATGTCCCAGTATAATCAATGAAGGGTGTGATTAATCCAATCAACGGTGTGTTTTATATTGAGCTGAATCCTGCCCTAAACTCCTCTGACTAGTCCTCCAGCAACCAGAATGGGAGCCTAGACACCTAGTTTACATATAGGGACATACTTTGTAGACACCTAAGGTTAAGTGAGATCAATCCTACCCTAGGTGACTACTAGACGATGAGATCCTCTCGCCTGACTTCTTGCATGAAATGGGCTGTAGAATCGAGTTCAGCAGCCTCTGGATAAGCAGTTTCACCAAAAAAGGTGGTTAGATATACTTGTGACCCTGCTCACCTATGGTTTGCCCAGAGACTCTGCACATACCAGGCTTTTCTGAGCTCTTCCACAAAGTCTAGGGAAGGAGAAAAAAAGATCCCTTCATGCACAATAAGGGTTGGGGGGGTCACCAACGTCTGCTTCTTCCCATGGGAAAGACTTGGGGGTGACTGATGCAGGACATGACATGATTATGCCTTTGTATCTCAGTGCAGCTGTTCCAGAACAAAATTATCATGAAAAGGCTGATGAAGCTTGTGTGACAGATTTTCATGGTTGTATGGAAAGTCCAGGATGTATTTCAAATAACAAACTGTGTGCCATTTAATTAACTGATACAGTGGATATGTTGGCCCTGCCAGAGGATTTCTAAACTCTGTACCAACTAATTTTAGTTGAGAGACAGTATCAGTTTTCTGTGTCTTCCCAAATGCAGATTTCACCCTTTATCTTAGCTGAAGTGGGAGCAGCATCTTAGATTTTCCATCACCTCCCCTGCTTCTAACTAAAATTCAACTATGGGTCAAATCCTTGGCTGGAAAGAGTGTATGCAGATCAGGATCTGCCTTGTATAAAAAAGTTACAAAAACAGGATGTGTTTTATTTGACTGGAGTGAACTTAATGGTCAGGGGTCATTTTCATTTAAGACACATTTTTCTCATAGTTTTCAAATGTATTTTGTTTCTTAAATGACAGCAAAAATAAAATGATTTTTTCTCAGCATTTTATCTTAAGGATCTCAAGGCACTTTATTGGCACTAATTAGCTAAACTTGCAGTTTCCCAATATAGTGAATATATGACTGCTTGCCTTATCTGCTTTCTCAGCTTTCAGGCTTATTTCCCTCCAGTGGGAGGAAAGACCCTGGGTGCTTTCCAATCTATAATTATTAAGAGGACAGAAACACCATATACTTTTATGGACAACTTAATTTTTGCTGTTATTTTCTTTTTTTTTTTCATTTGTCTTCCCAAACTGAAAACTTGGTAATGGGTTCTTCCTTTATTTCACTGGCATGTTATACTTTTCCCTTGTTTTTAACTACTCCCCAGTGAGTCTCTGGTTTGCCCTGTTCCATTCATTCCCTCTGGAAGGGTTTTCAAGATTTCAAAGTTCACTTCAGGAAGATTTCATAATAAGAACTTAAGGAAAATAATATAATCTTGCTTTAAAACACTTCCTTCCTCTGTTTTGCTGATGAATTATAACAATTCACAATACCATCTGGCCAGCAACTGGTACAGAACTTATTTCATTGTTTTAAATGTATTTGTTTCTTTTGGTTGTAGAGTACATAACATGAGGATTCCCTAGCTGCTGTTCTGTGATCAGACAGAGCAGACTACAATATGAGATCAAGATGTGCCTAAATGTTTGGAATTGGGCTAGAAATAGTCTTGGAAAATGATCTGTAGTCTTACAATGAATTAGAATGTGAGTCCTGTGGTGAAGAGCAAAATGCAGGTCTGAATTTTGCAGCTTGATCCATTTTCTAAAATCATAGAAAAATCTCAAGAGAAATCCAACCTCCTCCTTCTTAAGGGGACTTTGTAGAAACTTCTTAAGCTCATAGATCAAATTAAAAATGAGAAAATAACCTGTTTTCTGAATCCAGTTTTGATGTAACTCAGGATAATGGAAATAGAGCTGGACAAGAAGTTATCATGAGCTTCCTACAATCCCAGTTTTGAGGAATCTCCCAGAACAGTTTGGGAAGGCTGATGGTGCTCCAGACCCAAGTCTAGGAAGGATGGCTTCCATTCCAAAACCCAAGTGACTAAGCATAGTCCAGTTCTGAATTTGACCATGCATGGATCGGGAGCGTTGGTGGTGATGTGGAGGGGAAGTACGGCACCCAAGCCTCTCACCAGATCACCTGAAGCACTTAATGCACAAGGTGAATCAAAATACAGGGCCTTCTAGGTCCTCCCTCCAAGCAGATTTTGAGCACACGAGTATCAGACATTTAAAACATAATTTGAGGCCTGATTCAGTGTGGATCCTAAGGTGGTGCAATTTCAGTAAAACTTCCTCTCCTTATCCTACAGTCAAAGTTAATTTAATTCACTTGTGTGTTTTTGAAGACTGTGAAAATGAAGAATTACTTGAAACAGTCTCTAGTGATTACAGATGTCCTTACAGCCCTTACTGTAAAGTGAATGTTATGGTGTAAATGTACAGACCACTTAGCAACAGAGAGTCACTGTCTGTTCGTGAACAGATGTTAATCTTCACTGACGGTGTTGCTCCAGCCACAACCTTGCTGACCAATGTTATGTTTGGTGTTGATTTTTTTGACACAGATCTTTTGATTGCCAGCTTTTTCATATATGCCATGGCCAAATAATAGGAAACAAAGGCTAGCTTCACATTAATGACATAGGTGGTAAAGTTCTTTAGTTCACCAAACCATTCTAGTCCTGATTTAGATTCTTTAAAGCAAATGTTGCTGTATAGGTAATACATGGTATTTTCTCACATGTTGCCTTGTTTACACATGCTCATGTAATTTTCATGTGAACTATAGCATACTGTAAAGCTGTGTCATATTCTTTTAATTTTTACACTGAATGATTTCAAATGGAACCTGACATAATTAGATTACATGTAATCTCTTCCCATTTTGATCCTGTTCTCAAGAGTGTTTGCAAAGCAGCTTACTTGAGTTTTAAATGCACAACTTTACATCACGCTGACGGTGCTGAGTAAGAGAAACACACTCTTAGGAAAACATACTGATGTGTAGGACAAAGGCTCAAGACTTTATCAAGTGAAACAGGTATCTCCACTGGCAGCGTCCGCTTTATAATCCTCGACACACAATTTTTTGAACTTCTGCACAAAACCTGTAACAAGTTGATTCAGTCTTCCGTTATCCATTTCTCTCCTGAATCAACACAAACCCTTATTAATATCTGCTCGTAACAGCGTTCCCAAAGAGACAGTATAGTTTCTATTAAGGTGTCAGCCTTTGAGATAAACTGCAGTTTAGAAGCATTTTCAAACAGCCATCACCTTCCTAGTAGTATATTAAAAGAGATTATGCATTGCCAGAGACAGCAAGCCTTGTCAGGTCAGGGCAAAACAACATTTTAAGCCGATTGGCTCATATATCTCAAGGTATGTGTGTCCTTGCACAAATTCTCTTTCCTCTGAACCCAATATTTAAGAAAATCCGCCTTTCACAATGTTGATCGATCTGAAGTGTGGTCAGATTGAATCCTGCTTATTATTTGGAGTTTAGGGAAGGAGAAAAAACTCTAGATGTGATTGGTAGTAAATTATTGGATTATAAGGAAACTCTCAGGAAAAAAGCCTGTTATTTGGTGGTTGGTGCCTCACCTTTCAGAAAGCTCTTCTCTGCATAAAAATTTTTTGACAGGATGAAGCATGTTTACATGTTCACATGCTCCAGAGGTATTTGCCAAGTTTGGGAAGCTTCATACTGCTTTATAGCCTAAAGCTGGCTTTGTTTGCCAAAGGTGAGAGCTGCCTTTATTAACAAAGGTGGCTGCCTACAGGGTCCCCTGGCGTCCCTACAGGATGAAATTGGGTAAGTGGTTCCTAGTAAGACCCGGTGTAAACACCAGCCTCAGCAGTATCTGCGAGCACATCTTCTTCATCAGCCAGGAATGTGAATCACCCCACGTCCCCATATTTGGGCAGTCTTACTGCCAGTTGTGCAATGGCCCTGCCGTGGGAAATGAACTCAGTTGCTTACTGCTGTGAAACAGCTTGAGAGAGCTTGGCCACCCTCTAGTTGGCTTGTCCCACTGTACGGTTGCCATATAGGCTTGGTTAGGGAAAAGATAAATGGATAGGACTTCTATTTCCCTGGCAAGCTATTTCTACAGTTAAGGCTTCACAGGAAACCTTCACGCTGCTTTACCCCAAAGAGGAGGCTGACCGAACACAGATGGCTTGAGGCAGAGAAGGAAGAATGTGCTTAAAAGCCCAACCTGCACCCTTCATTTTGCTGTATAATCTCTACATGAAGTGGAGCCGGGAAAAGACTCTAAATACCACACTGTTGGAAAGAAATTATTTTAATCTTCCACAAGGAGTTTTACTTCAACGAACTGAATAAACTACTTCTCCATCAGTCAATTACACTTCTCTGTCTGCTTCTTTCAGCAGCAAATGGAAAAGGTCATAAAGATTTAACTTTTGCACTACATTAGACAAGTAATTACACCTTTTGCAAGGTACACTGTTACATCACAAAGCAACTACACATTTTATTGTGGGATCCTGTTTTCATTTGCTTGTAACTTCATGAAAATGTATCCCTTTGAGGTTTTAAAATTTGTTGGTATCTTAGAAATTATTCCATTTCTGTTAAATTTGAGTTACTTCTGACATTCTGGTGGTTATGGGTGAGTGATAATAAACTTTACTGCAGTATTGACTGTGCTCTGAAAACTGACTCTACAAAATACTGTCATGTTCTTCCAGGTTCTTACTGTAACTCCACACTGGATCTTCCGAGTTTACAAAAACCTATCTTCCAACTAATTTCCTGGAAAACTACACTAAGGCGCACAAAAGATGAAGGTAATGTTTTGCTTTGTTGTGCATCATTGCCAATAAGACTTCATCTTCTGTCTTCTTATCTGTTCCTTTTCTCTATGTTCTACTTTTCCTTGATTTAAAAGCTGTATGATTTGATTATTATAGCTTTTTGCTCTCTTCCATCAAATCCCTTCTCTGTCTGCCGTGGGAGCAGGACGAAATCTGGTTAACAAGAAGCTAAAATTTAGATTCAGGAAAACACCTCAATTTCATTGTTTTAAACCCATCATATACTTCAGTTTTGATAGGGCCACACGTGCCTTCTTCAGTCAGACTTTCTAACTTTTGCATTTTCTATGCATAGCCATCTTGCATTATCCATCCAGTCAATGTAGAAAGGGCTCTCTGGGAAGTTATATGACATGGGATATACAGGTAGGTGACACGCTTTTGGTATTGTGATGTTTTCCAATTCACTGAAAAACTACTTGGTAAAGTTGTATTGCTCTGTATGAGTGTAAGAAACTTTCTTCTATGAGTACTTTTCATAGAGAAAAGAATACTGAAAGCTAAATCAACATTTAAAAGGAGAAAGAAATCAGAGAATATTGAAGTAATGGAAGGAGTAAGGCAGGAGGAGGCAAATGGAAAAAGGTAAAATTCTATAGTAGACAGAAAATTTGGGGAAAAAGCAAGGTGAAGAAAATCTGGAATGACAGAGGAGACAGAAACAGCTCCTTTCATCCGGTAGCAACAGCAAGCTCCGCATACACTCAAGTCTGATTCCCATGGCAGGAGCCACCAAAGGCAGGAGAGAGGCCTGAATCAGTGAAATCTGAACCTCAGCAAACCAAGGGAGCCTGTAGACAATGGCACTGAGTGAGGGCGAGTGAACAATCAGAACCAAAAGGGAAAGTCTTTCAGGCAGCCAGAAAAATTATGTCAGCAGTCTTTAACGAAGCAAAGAGCAAACCCTCCTGCTTAGAGTCCCAGTCCCATCCCCGCTTTTAATACATCTCTTCCTCAATATAACACACTGCTTCAGTATAAGAAGGTGGGCTGATGCCACCATGTGTGTACAGGCGAACCTCTGCCTAAATCATCTGTTCTGCAGAACTGGCTGGTGCTAAAGCTCCTAGAAATGTCTATGACATGATCAGGCAAGTGATGGACTGAACGTAACACCTGAAACACAGTCACCCACAACTTTCATTTTGGGGGAAAATAAACAAAATCAAAACCAGCAGGTGGTATAACCGCTGAGTAAATTTAATCTTAGAAAATATGTACTTCATGATATGAGAAAGAATAGCCATCTGCCACCTATTGTTCACAGTCCTATAAACACTCCATATCCAATCAGGTATTTTGAGCAATATCCTTTGTAATGACTAGAGTAGGTTTTAACAGTGACAAGCCTCAGAGGTTGAACAGGCAATTGTTTGAATTTAAGTCTAGACAGGCTTGTATTTGTTCGAATACCTGCAGGATCATCTGAGCCACTCACTCTTGGGGTACATGCCTGTGCATAAATGGTTTGTATTTTTAGTGACACAGAAAAAGCCCACAACATTAGCTCATGTGCCTTAAAAACGGTCAGCGAGCAAATACCATATGCCACAGAAAGTATGTTGAAATCCTACACACCACCGAAGCTAAGCCAAACCTATAGCACAAACACAATTTGAAAAGGAACAGTCCAAAACCAGTTTTAAAAAATATTTTAGGACCAACAAACTTCTACTACCTGTTGTCTTTTCAATTCATAGAATGCATAATTTTGTGAAGTCAAACTCGGGCTCTTCAGGGCCGCAGCTGTGTCCTCATGTGAATTTATATGTTTAGCCCAATGGGCTGCCTTAGGGATAGGCCACCACAGCAAAATGCTCCAAAACTTTCATGGACTTCCAGTCTACAGTTGCCAATTCAAAGCCTGGGTTTTGATTTTCAAAGCTGTCATTATTCTGAAACCTCACTCTGTCAGGGATTACAGCTCTAGCAACAACTTGTTGAGGCAGTCGATGGCAAAAGACATGTGCACCAGTATGCACACAGCCCTGCAGAGCTGAGTGTATTGTGGGCTTGGGAAGCCCAGGAAGGAAGGAAGAAGCTCAAGAAGGAATCTTGAGGGGTCATCAAATTCGCTCCCTTGTCCCACTGCAAGACGCAAATCTCACAGGGTTGATTCAGCTAGGAAACCCACTGATACAGTAAGGGCAGACTGTAAACAGAACTTGAAGACAGACAAATTTATTTTCATAAGACGTTGCAGATAGCTCATATAATTCTGCACCTATGCTTCCTGTTCTGCTTAATTTTTAAAAAAAGCTGTTTTCTTGAAGAGAATGGGCTTCAGAAGCTTCATAGCTAAAAAAATAACCAAAGGGCAAAGCACATTAAGAAATAACTGCTGATGAAAATCTCATAATTTTTGTAATACGAATTCTTGTATTCCTTTGAAGTCTAGTAGGAAGGACTGCAATGTTACAGGGAATAGGATACCTTAAAATACTTTTCTTCTTCTGACTCTGGCTCTAATATTGCTGCCAAACAATGTCAGTGGCTATGCTGAGTGCATCTTGATGCAGAATATCCTGAGTGCAGGCTTGAGGAGATGAACCGTTAGTCTGCAAGATGTTCAGTCTTTTCACTTCTGTGGCTCCAGTCACAGCAGTAGATGGCTACAACATCTCAACTTAAACACAGACCTGGTCATCTGTTGAGGTAACCACCGAACATTAACAGGTATTACCAGTTCTGAATGTAATTTAATGAAAAGGTCTAGACTGTATCGTAAATGTGATGCCCAACTGAAATCTCAACATGCCTGACATGTCTCCAGTCCAAGCTCACACTTCGTGAGCAAATTGCAGCGTTCTCGTTTAGAGAGCAGATGGACTTGACACAGGGAATTCTGCCATGTAACCCACACCGCTCATCCTACCTACGTGACATGGAAGACAAATCAGCATGTTGGGAATCCCATGAAGCCAAGCAGTATGGGGCTGGCTGGCAGGCTACATAAAGGACTAGTTTTGAGGGCGGTGTAGATATGATAGTGGTCCAAGACTGGGGAGAACCATGCTGAGGCTTGCCTGCAAAGACAGAAGAGACACGGGCAATGTCTCTTCTATTTTCTTGCGATGCCACATAGAACTTTAAGCGTTATAAATAACGATTGCATATACTTTCACAGACTAAGAACTGTAATAAAAAATGAAGTGTTGGTAGAAACGAGATTGCAGGATTTGTATGTGGGAGTAGTGATAAAACAAGTATGATACCACTGTCAGCCACTTAGAAAGCTGTGATTTTAGAACTGTTCCACATCCTAGTTATAGTAGTGCAACAGGAAACAATGAGCATATGGGGAAACAAAAATGATGATATATAGTTTGAGAATGTATGAAAAAGAGGAAAGATGGTTCAGATGAAGTGGAGAGCTCCCTGTGGAAGACATTTATCTTAACTAATTAGCCATTTTGGGAAGAAACAAATCCCTAGCTGGAAGAATGCGAAGTATGTTGTTATATTCCAACACCTTCTAAAATTTTTAAAAAGACAACTAAGATCTGAAATTGGGAGGAACCAGATCTGACCACAGTATCCCTCTTGGGATTTATGGGACACTGACAGGCTAGTTAATCACAATTACTTTCTGAAATGCATTGCAAAGCCATAAATAATTTCTGTTTTCTGTTAAAATTCCTCTGCACAAGGAGAGGAAACATTTAAACAAAAGCAATCCAAGCTGTTATGTCTTACTGCCGTTAGCCATTTTCTCCTACATGATATTAATGACATATGCAACCATTCTCATACACAGCTACATAGATTTCCTAGATTCTCAGAGGCAGTGAGATGTGCTGGCATAGGTATTTCCTTTGTCAGGGATGATACTTTCAGATTTTTCAGGAGTAACACTACTCAGGCTATTTCTAATTTAAAAGGAGAGAGAATTCTGAGGACAGAAAGCCTATTAAAGATGGAAATATCTGTGGAGATTTACTGATCTTTGGATAACCATACAGTAATTATTCACCTCATCTAGTCTACCCTGGAATAATGGAGCAGTTCTACAGATTGTCACAAAATGCCCTTTTACAACAAGATTTAGTAAAAATTAGTATCAGAAGTTGAAGGCCCCACAACTCCCAGTGCAAGTTGTCTGGAACTGCTTATTTTAAGAGTTTATCTTCAGTAGGTTATGCTAAATTCCTTAGTTACTATTTGAATAGGAAGTATTTAAATATAATTATTACAAAAACACAGGATTGTTTAAAACACTCCAAACATTTACTGAACGTTGCTCTCTTTTTGTATCATAACTGGATGTCTTTTGGTAGTACATTTTAACTACTGTTTATTTAAATCTTGCTTCGAATGTAATATATTTTACTGCTACTCCAAATTCCCTCTTAACCACAATGGTTTTCTTTTTAAACCAAAGTCGACCCTTCTGGTCACGACACTGCTGCTGCATTTAAGGTCTCTAGTAGTCTCAAGCAGCTGTTTTGTCACATTTCTATTCTTTCCCCTTTCCAGTTTTGCTTGTAAGTTGGTTTGCTGTCCCATGCAAAGCACAGGGATGTATATGCACAAGTAATTTGCACAGGAGTGGGAGCACTCTGCTTAAGGAAGAAGTAGGGCTGGGATCAAAGTCATCCCTCTTGTGATGTGTTCATGATGCCAGGAGAGCTGGAATGGGCAGCCTGGCCTATCCCGTCCTATGCATTTCCACACACAAGCCTCGGATGTTCACCCATAAAGCTGCACCTCAACCCTCCAATACCCAACGCTGGTGGCTTGCCAGAGAAAAGGAAAAAAGCAGAATGGTGTTTTCAAATTGAGCGTCTTGGTAATTCACGCAGCACAGCCTCATGACCAAGATAAACCTGAAGGGCATAAGGCCTGTCTTGGGTTTTTCCCCCCTTTTTTTGTTCCCCCACTGGATGTCTGCTCCTGCCAGCTGCCTCAGCGCTGAGGCACGGCTCAGCCTGCTCTGGGTGGTGGTGGGAGCCAAGCTTGGCCCTCAAGCCAAACATGCGAGCCTCGCCGGGCGCCCACCTTCACTGCTGCCCCGGCCTCGGCGGGGGACGGCTCCCCGCGCCCCCGGGGCCTCGTCAGGAGCCGAAGATGGCGGCGGCGGGAGTAGGGAAGGTGGCGGGGCCGGTCACCTCCGCGCCTCGTTGCGAGCCCAAGATGGCGGCGGCGGCGGGTCAGCCCTGTGGGGCGGCGGGGCGGGGCGGGGCGGGGCGGGGCGGGTTGGGTTTCCATAGCGGTGGCCGCCGGTGTCGTACCGGGGCACTTCCTGGTTGGAGGCCGCCGGTCCCGGGGCAGCAAAGCAGGGAAGTGCCGCTGAGGGAGGAGGCGGAGGGAGGCCCCGGAAGGAGGAGGAAGCCGAGCAAAGGTAAGGGCGAGCCGGGACGTCCGGCTATTGTGCGACCCCCCCGGCGTGTGGGGGGAGCGCCATGAGCCGGCTGGACCCTTCCATTCGCTGGGGTGGGGTGGAGGGGGGAGACGCCGCTCCGGACCTCTCCGTTGAAGCGGGCGGGGTTGCGACCCAGTTCCTAGAGAGCTGAGGGGAGGTGGGCAATACCATCCTCCCCCACAGGGGGGGAGCCCGGGCTGCGTGCAACACCCGCTGGGCTGGCGAGGTGGAAGAGGCGGGAGCCGGCTCCCGGGGGGTACCGGGGTGCTTCAGACTGTTCCATTCCCTGCGGAGGGGTGTGTGTTTGGAGGGTCCCTGCTGTTTCTTCGGGGAGGGTGAGGGGGCGGTGGTGGCGGCAGCGTGTGGGAGGCGGCTGAGCCGAGTGTGCGGGGAAGCCCGGGGGAAGCCCTGTCGGAGGTGTCCCTGGGTCCCATTGTAAGGCTTGAGTGAGGTGTGGCGGCGGTGAGGGGGCCGCCCCGCGGGAGGGTACCCCCAAGCAGGGGTGGTGTGAGGGGTGCGCTCCCCTTGGGGTGAGGGGGGGGGGCTGTGGTGGCCTGGCCCTCTGTGGTCAGAATGGGGCTGGGGAAGTTGGTGGAGGGGGGGAGAGTGCGGTTGGGGGGGGGGGGGGCACGGCTGTGGGTCGGACACCCCTTGGAGCCCCCCTTTTTCTGTCAGGGTTGTAACATCGAGCCCTGCCGAGAGCAGGGAGGTTTTTGGATGGCTGAGCCCTTGCTTTAACGTGATTTTCTTGGCACTTCTGCTTTCTCTACCTGCTCCCTCCTCCGCTTTTTGTAATACCTCAGGTGTGTGGTGAAAAGTGCTAGGCTGGAGAGTCGTGGCCTGCGCAGGAGGGCCCGCGGTCCTGCGGGCTTCCCACAGGCCGTGCTGCCCCCAGACCTCAGTCTCCATCACCCCGCTCTCAGCCCTTGCTCTCTGCGGGACTGTCAGCAAAACAGCCGAATATCGGATGTTTCGGGTTCGTTCTGTGGCATGGGTGGCTGCCTGTAGGAAACCACCGAAGCCTTTGAACTGCCAGATGAATGAGAGTCAAGTGGCGACTTAAAACACTGTCGCCAAACTCCTGTACCAGTCGTTTGCCCGCATACACTTGAGAATAACTTTCTTTGTGCCGTTTTGTGTTTGGAGCAGGCAGCTGCGCAGGGAGCTGGCTGTGAGTGTAGCTAGTTTTTAGCTTTCACGGAATTACAGTGGGATGAAAGCACATGCGCATCTGCCTTACTCGCAACAAATGTATTTTTGTGGAGGATCAGTTCAATTAGAATAATTCTATTAAATAATTGTTCTCTATGGTTATTTAGCTTGATGTGTACCCTGTAATCTAGAGCTGTTGTGTGACAGTCGAAACTCAAACTCTGCTAGGCGTGTGTATATTAAATACGGCGGCCAATCAGCAGTGCCTGAAACTAAAAGCAATTTGCTTCAACGCTTTGTAGTGTAAATATTCCTGCCATGAACAAAGAAGAGGGTGTGTCATAGTACTTGTTTCATTTGTACTTCTATGTGCTTCCTCATTTGTGGCCAGTCAATGATTCTGTGGAGGTTCTTAAACAGCAGCAGTCTTACTTTGTTGTGAGTTTTACACTTGGGCTGTCTTGAGCTGGGACGCTCAGAAGCTTGGTGCTATATTAGGAATTTTTATGCGCTTTTTAATAGCCATGCTCATAAGTGACTTAGTTTTGTTTCCGTTGTTACTGATTATAACTCTGAAGTTAATTCAACTTCGATGCAGTGTAAAATAAGTATTTAGTAGAACTGCCTTTTAACCAGCTGTTCTTTTGCCCTCTGATTATAGAGCATGGAAACCAATAATTTTGGACTTAATGTTTTGCCAGCGAGCTATCTATAAAACTTTGAAACATGTGCTTCTGAAATTTCTGTATCTGTTTTCTTTGAGGGGCCATAACATTTGGGTTTAAAGAAGAAAGTAAATGACAGTAAAATACTGTTTTGTGCCAGGCAGGCTCTCTTTATACTATTTTGTCTTTGTGTGTGTGTGTTTAAACAATGCAGTTGCATGCTGCTCCTGTGATTTCTGGTTCTTGGGAATTGGGGATATAAATTCTTAATGTTAACTCCTTAGCATCTAATTTAAACAGATACTACAATAACATACACACAGACTAGACCTGAATCTTTAATTGCCAATTTAAAGGAAAATCTTTTCTCTGGATAGAGTCATAGTGCATAGAATTATAATATGCTGTAATTTACTTGCAATCTGGCTCATATTAATTATCCTGAAACAGAGTATTGGGTAAAAAGGAGGCCTGGCACTAGGTGAGGAAACAGATATTTGAATGTGTAATTAGTGTGCTTGAATTTGAAGTAGTGAAGAGCTTCTCTCCTTCAGGTATTCCTTTCAAATTTAAGTTAAAATGCTGATAGTTTCACAACTACTTAAGGTGAATACCACCACGGTCTGATAGTTGTGTGTTAGTAGAGGAAATAACGGATGGAATACAAGGGTTAGCTCTTCAGGAAAGGAGGATCAAAGGTATGTGTGTGAGGGTGTTTTTATAGCCTTTTAAATTACAAGGGAAAGCATAAAGGACATCAGGTACTAGATTGAATAAAAAGGCCATTTTTCTTAAACGGTACCTTTCAGCAAGACACTTAGAAAGTTATAGTCTTTCTCTGTTGTGTAATAGTTGGTAGTGTTTCTGTTCAGGAGAGAACACTACAAACATTGAAATAAATCAGGTTGTTGGCTGAGAGCGCTAAATGATAACTGTTTAGTTTCTAACACACATCCTTAGGAAAAGCATCAATAATGTAATGCAATAGAAAGTACAGACTTTCTAATACTTGGCAGGGTTGACTTTTCTTGACTTTCCGATACAGCTTGCTATTGCTATACTCACCATTAGAGATAAAAGATTAAACTTACATTTTTTAGGGACTTAAGCACTTTCAAATAGTCCAAGTAAATGGCCTTCAGCAAAGTGATAAAGTTGTGAACAAGGGAAATTTTATAAAGCACATATGCAGTGTTATTTCGAATAACAAAAACTGGATTTATCCAGGAGTCTATATTGGCTAGGAAACAGATATTATCAATAGCTAAATGAAATATTTAGACACAGAAGGCAAGATAGGAGTAACATTTTATAGCTGGAAGTCAGAGTTGAAGTTGCCATGGTGTACCAAAGCATTTACTTTTCATGGTTATGACACATGCTTTTAGGTAGTATATAGCTGCTATATTCTCCCCTACTTGTTTCCTTAGTGTTGTGACTAGATTTTTATAAATGATATGGTGCATAATTATGCTATTGTTAGTCTTAAGTGTTTTTCAGAACTGATGTGTTTTTTTTTTTTTTTTCCAAATGAAGAGCCTTTTCCCGTATAGACACACAATAAAATGTCATGTAACTTGATGTCTGTGAAGCAAAGCATTGTTAGTTCATATTTACAAAACTAAGATGAGACTATATCTTTGGAAAATCAAGTTGAATGGGAGACTGTGGTCTTCCAGTTGGCTCTGCATAAGATTGAAGAACAATCTGGGCCCAAAGATAGTACGGAGGCCTGGTCAAAAGTGCTTTGGACCTGGGTTGAGAGCCATCTGCATGACTCATTTTGTGTTCTTAACATAATATCTGTAATTAGTCCAGTAAATAATTAAATATTATGGAAGTTATATTTGCTGATTTTGACATCAGTAATGAAAAGGAAGCTGACAAGACTGCAGTTCTAATGATATGTTTTAACCAGACACTTTATTTTTGATTAGGGTGTGTGTGCTTAGATATTTAATTTAGCAGCCATTCACAGAGAATTGACAGGACCTGCAGTTCAAACTGTTCTTCAGTGATTGCACCATCTAATGGCTTTATGTTCATCTGTGTGTTTTTAATAATATTTGCATATATATTTCTTCAGCATGATGCCATTTTCTTCCCCTGTTAAGTCTGTTCCCTGTGTTACTTTTTCAATGCAAAAAAAGTTGGTTGAAATTTTCAGTCTGCAGCATTACTGAAGTATTTCTTTTGACACTTTTTTTTGTGGTGGGTGGTTTTGGTGGTGTTGTTTTTTGTTTTGTTAGGTTGTTTTTTTTTGTGTGTTTTTTTTTGGTTTTGTTTTGGCAGTGGATCCTGTTCATTTTTGTTGTTGTTTTGGGTGGGTTTGTTTGTTCTTTACAAAACTGGTTTTAGCAATTGGTACAGGAGCCTTCTTGTGATGTGAATCCAGTCCTGTGATAGTTCCTCTACTGCTCTGGCATGTGCTGTAAATGTTACGTGAAGTCATACTTTAAGAAAAGTTAGATCTCTTCTTTAGCCTTTTTTATTTTTTTTTTTTTAAATAGTAAGAGATCAGGAGAGTTGAGACTTGAAATCTGAGTCAGCACAATATAGTATCTGTCTGGATTAGCACAGGTGGTCAAATTCAGCAAGTTCTAATTGGTTTTGAAAAGAGGAAATAAATTGTATAATATCTATTAATGGAGATCATATAATGAATTTTCCAAAATGTACCTGCTGTTACGTCACTTTTGGAGATTAAGTCCTCTATATTTTGCTTTGGGAAGAGCCAGGCATATTGTTAGTGTATCCATATCTGCCCTACTTGGATCTTTTTTGTTATTTTTTAAATTTTTTTTTTTCATTTGGATTATGAACTGACTGACCTGATGGTTTTCAGTTGGTAGAAATGGTAACTTTTTCAGGTTTTGTTTGAGGAAGTGGTGTTGGGTGCTAATGCCAACCCACGCTTATTTAGTAAACTTACTTGTAGTTCATGTGGTTTAGAGTATCTTTATATTGTATCTTCTTGCTAGCTGAGATTGCTGAAGGAAAATACTGATTTGATGGTCTTTTCAGTTACTGTATCCATACTGTAGACTTGTACTTTCATCTTCTTAAAAATGTTTGTTGTCTTTTGGGAGTGGTTATATTTTATGAACTAGTACATGCATACAAGTTTAGAATATGAATGTTAGAAGAAAGTGTATGTTTTGAGTTGATAAACTTCAAAATATATCCATAAACAGTAAGGTTCCTCAGTCATAACAAATATGTACTTGTGTTTCTTCTTTTAACAAGGAGGATGAAAAGATAGTAGGAAAAACAGTTGATACATAAAATTTTATTCTAGTTATTTGAAGTTAAAAAAATTATTTGTCTCTCTATTTTCCTACCATCATCAGGACATGTATACCTCTGAGAAACCTTCTCCAACAAGATACCTTGCTTCAAGACCTGTCTTGGATTATATGCAAAGAAGTTTCCAGTCATGAGTGAGTAGATTTTTTTTTTTTTTTTTTTTTTTAAGAAAAAAGAAACCCTTAGTTTGCAGTTTAGAAGAAAGGTGCTTCTGTAGTGGGTTTTGGAAGGTGGTGGTTCTTCACAAATATTCATACAGAACAGAAATGTCTCTTCAGTCCTTTAAAAATAACCACATGAAACTGAGATTTGGCAGATGCTGTTCTTAATCTGCAAAATTTTTGATCGGTGTATGCTCTGTAAGACTTCTGTATTGGTAGTCTGGTATCATTCTTGAGAAGGTGAGTTCTGTAACAAGCTGATGTTTGTTTTGAGTATAAATAAATCATGTAACTCTGAGGGGAAAATGTCTTGGGTTTGCTAAGAACTCCAAAATATGTGACCGTCCAGTAAATTAAAATAGCTGGTAAAAATCCAACATAAAATGAATGGGTTTCATTTTATGGTGAAAAATAATTATATAACTCAAATTCCAGTATAGATGTCGGATCCCAAAGGAATTTTGGCACGCATTGGAAAGATCTGAGCCATAGAAAACTGTGACTTAAGGTCTGTTTTGGTGGAAAAAAAAACAGATGAAAGGCACCAGAAGTTTTGTTTTAGGCTATATCTGATGGGTAAGATAATCTCTCTTTAGTGAACTGTTTTGCATATTTAAAGGTCTTTCATAAGTTTTGCGGATGTGAGACTTCTTAATATAATTCTTGGCAGGAACATTACCTAGCCTTACATCATGTAGAAATAGGGATATAACTTATATGCACAGGAACTGTATTTATAATGTAGCTTAGTTTCAACACAACAGTACAGAATCTGTTGAAGAAAGAGCATCTAGTTCATACAATAATTATATCCTATGTTAGTAAAATAAGACCATTTGATTTTCAGGGAGGAAGTCAGCGAATAAAATTGTTGGTTAAATTTCTTGTCAAACTAAATGAAAAATGACTGTTGTTTACATCTGGAAGAAGAAAAGAATGGTGAAGGAAATGCTTGCTAAATAAAGCACAGGAAATACTACACCAAAAAAAGGACTGAAAGAATTGCTGAACTCCGTGGATTTATGCTTAGTGTAGATAGAACTATTTGAATATTTATGTAGAATTTTATTTGTTTTCTCATACATTGCTGTTCACACTTGCTTTCTGACGTTTAAAGTATTTGCTGTATTGCATAGATGACAGCTTTACAGGCAGTTATTCATGTACCTGAATATCCTGATGTGTTAAACGCTGCTATATCAATCCTCATTTGTTTTATAGAGCATCTCATGTGCTGTCATTGCCTAATGTATAGTCTTAACAAATAACTGTAAGTCTTTTTACCTTCTGAATCATAGTTGCTGTGTTAAGTGTGACTCACCAGGCTGTTGCTGTGATGTTGTTGGTTTGAGTACAACAAATACTGTCATGACTTGAGCAAAGCACCATTGGTTTTGGTGAGATTCTGACATGATTCCAGACTGGAGAGTTTAATTTTGTATTAGGAAAAATGAAAACCCTTATTCAAATGAATGATAACACTTTGGGAGAACTTTTGTGTAGTTACTAATAATGTTATTCAAAATACACTGTCCTTTGCAGACACCACATTCTTGTGGCTGATGAGATGCTTAAGTGATGGGCTTCAAGGATACAACAGAAAATGCTGCTTTTTTTGAAAATACGGTTTAGAGAAGATGTCTGTGTTTAGCTGGTGTTGAATTTCTTAGTTTGCGGTTTACTTCAGAGAAACTTGAACTGTAAGCATGGTCTTCATAGTTTTAGGCTCCTCTCTACTAAACGCCTCAGTCTATAAGGTATTTCTCATCCTATGAAGATGCATTTATTTACATACACCTGTACATGTAAGCTATTCACAAAATCTGTGGGCACCTAGAATAGCTAGATGTGTTAAAAGTGATGGGAGACTCTAGTATTTCAAACTAGTGCATCACCTAGTGTAAATCAAACCAAAAATATAAGATGGTAATCTAAAATGTGAGAATGTCAGACTTAAGAAGGCTAATAACTTCTTGGTTAAAAAATTCAGAATGCTGTTACGTGCAGGCTACATTATGAATCCTACTTGTTATTTTCTTGTGATACACTTGATGCAATATATATTTCCATTACTGTTTGCGAAGGGCTGTTCTAGAACCTCAGTCCTAAAATAGTTAAATCCCTTTTGTAATATCTGTCCTAAATTTATTCACAGGCAGTTTGTATCTATTTGTTTTTCTGCCAACCTCATTCATTAGCTTAAAAAGTCATTTTTACTTTGTATTGTATTTGTGGTTTTAGCAGTTTATTACACAGAGGATATGATTTTATTGAAATAGCTTGTAATCTGTAATATCTTGGTGCTTAAGATGCACACAAAAGCTCATTTTAAAGCAAATGATCAGTTAAGATTTTTTTGAAAGTGAATAGAAGAACTACTCTTGTAGTATAACTTTTGATAGTTATCAGGTGTGTAGATAAGTGCTTTGGTTCCTGTTGTACTGGATCTTCTCCAATATCAGGGAAGATTATTGACAGAATTGCAAAGTCCACTATTCATGGTGGTTGTTTTTAGTTGTTGGGCAATACAGAGAATCTGAAAAAGTGTTAAAACTGAAGCATTCTCTATTAAAGCTTTTATTTCTGTGGAATGCCTTTATAAGTGTTTTCATAAATAAGGATAAGACAAATCCATAGTTCAAATTATACTTTAACATTGTGTGCCCATAGGACAGTGAGGTCACATGCTTAAAGGGTGGGTAAGAGAATACAGTGTAGCTAAATTAGATTGATTTTGATTTATTTTGAATTTAAAGATCACTTGCGAGAGAAATCCTGGCTGTATGTAGCCTGGCTAGAATGTCACACCACAGAAAGAGTTGGTTTAATCTTACACGTTTTCTCCAGTTGTTGACATTTAGTTGCCAGAAAACGTGTAGTGTTATGATAAATTCTTACAATTATAAACTATGCTTTTTGTGTTTGGGAGTTTTCCTGTTCTTTCTCCTTTGAAGAAAGATCAGTACAATCGGCTTATCTGAGCTGCTGCAATGAACTCAGTTTGCAAACAATTAAACTGAATGTTAGTATGTACTGTTGCAACAAGGTGCTGACATCTTAGTTTTTTTCCCCTTAAATGTATAGGATGCAGTGCCAACTTTTTTTATTTATTATTCTGCTGTCATAATAAATTGTACAGAATAATTCTTTCCTGGCTTTGTCTTTCTGCTTTTAGTTTTGTTTCCCTGTACCCTAAAAGTGTAACACTGCATGCAGCTGGGAAGTTAACCTGCTATTCTTTGTGCTTGAGTCTCATCTCTTCAGGTTTTCCTCAGGATTGACTCAGGGTAGGAGTGCATTTTGTGTGTTTGAGGAGATGCTATGCAATGTAATCTTATATTTTGAAAATGGTCAGTGTGGCCTGGTAATGATGTGGGAAACGTTTTGCTTTACCAGTTCAAATCAAGACCGCAGTGGTGTGATTAAAGGCTGCTTCTGTTTGATGGTTGGTTATTTATCTTGACCTCTCATTGCAGCTGGCTTTCTAGTTAGTGTTCACAGAGGTACCTTAAGGTTTTGCGATTTCAAAAAAAAAAAAAAATATTTTTCTCTCTTTCTGAGTTCTTGTAGTGTATGTAAAGAAATAAAGAAATTTTGGCTGTCAGTTCCTCTGTCCATCAGCAGTAAACTCGGGAATTAAAACAAACGTTAAGGTCAGCCTTATTAGATAAAGGTAGAATGCTTTAGCAAGTATGCATTTAGCAAGTAAGCATTTGTATGCTTGCAACTGAGAAAAGTGTGTTTTGGATTTTTATAAAGCTTCCTAGGCTACGAAAAGCCTGTTTGGTTAAGGCTGGCTCAGTTTCCACCCTTCACCTTCAATCTCCCCTTACTGTATGTCAGAATGAATTTGTAGTGAACTGAGGACCAAGTCATACTGTTCATAAAATAAATGCTGGGAAATGAACAATATTTTGTTGTTTACACAGTGTAAGGTGGCTGCACATTTTGTGTGTTTTGGGGTAAAGTGTTGCAAATAACTCTAAAGCTGATTGATGTAGTTTAAGAGGCTTTGTAGTCACCAGCTCTTTTCAGTGAGCTGAGATTGAAAGGAGGGAAAAAGACTAAGTTCCAATTCATACGTAAAACTAAATACTGGGGAAGGAAAGTTTAACAGTAAGCTAAAATATCTTTATAATGAAGAATAATAATGAATAGCTAAAGAATGTTGGATTATTGTTACATGCTATGTTTTTATTTTCAAACTATGAACCCTGAAAACCCATTAATAAAATACAAGCTTGAAGATACAGTATGTGTTTTCTTTACCAATTGTTATTTTGATTTCACAAGACTATTATCTTCTAATATTTAGAAATACTGTGACATGAGAAATACAGAAGCTATTGTCTCCTAGCTCATCTTTATTGAAATTTGAAATCATAATTCTTTATGAAAAACTGAAGATCTGAATTATAAAGAATTGTAGGTCATAGGGGATGAAGAGCTATAATGCAGACTTGAAAAATTTAGTTTGAAGACTTGGGACATGTTTAAAATAGTTTGAGTTAAATAATAATAATCCCTCTTGCAATTCAGCTATCTGCAAAAGAATGAAACCCACAAGAAACTTAAAATAGTAATCTACTGTACATTAATGACCCCATCAAAATTACTTCATTGATAACATTAGCATTTATCTTATGTTTGCTCCTTTTTTTTTTTTTTTTTTTTTAAACTGTCAGGGGAATTTACCGCTGTAGGTAACTGCAGTGACACCTGAGTGCTTGGATCAGAAGCGGTAGTGTAGTAACTTCTTTTTTTGTAGTGGGAGAACGAGGCATGAAAAATAGATGTATAGAAAGTTGTTTGGCTCCTGAACCTAGTGTTTACCATTTTTGATCTTGCTTCACAGTTACTCTTCTGTGTTGTCTTAACTTTTCATTTCTATTTTCTTCAGATACTGCTAGTTAGTGCTCTATTGTCTGGCTGTCCCCTCTGTGTGGTGCTGGTGGTATTCCAGAGAGGCTATT